TTTGTGCACCAGGGATACATCCTGGCTCCACTGTCTGAGGTCTCTTAGACTACTCAGTCCTTCTGGCTGAGACCCATATTCAGGGGGCCCTGAGTCAGTCCCATGCTGGCTTCCTAGCTATCAGTCTAGTGGCCCTTAGCTCCTCCTTGTTCAGGTAAGCTGTCTCTATGTGTTTCTGCCGCATGGTCTTGTCCTCTCCCTCTGCATCTGGGTTCTAGTTCGACTCAGTGTTTATGTATGGGTGTTTGATCCTGTTTTCAACAGGTATTAGTTGAGGGCTCCATGGAGAAGTTAGTTGTTGATCTCACTCTCCGGGAAGGGCATTTATGATAGCCTTTCCACGGAAGCTGAGATTGTTAGTTGGGAGCAGTCTTGTAGTTCTCTAGACCTTTCTTTGTGTTCAATTTTATCTTCAAACCAATATTGGCTCCCTCTTTTATGTTCTCTCTCTCTGTCTCTGTCTCTCTCTTTCCTATCTTCTATCTCTAACAAGGCTCAATCTTCCTGGTCGCACATGTTTTCTTTTCTTCCCCCTCATTTTCTCCTACTTCTCTCTCCATTCGCTGCCCCCCCCCACTTCACCTGAGCTCTGGGGGACTTGTCCCTGCCCAGTTCTGTGAGGGACTTTATATGACTCTCTTAGAATACACCTTGTATCCTAGTTCCTCTGGTGGTGTGAATTATAGGCTGGTGATCCTTTGATCTAGGTCTAAAATCCATATATGAGTGAGTACATACTGTGTTCCTCTTTTTGTGACTGGGTTACCTCATTCAGGATGGTTTCTTCAAGTGCCATCCACTTGCCTACGAATTTCAAGATACCATTATTTTTTTTTTGCAGAGTAGTATTCCATTGTGTAGATGTGCCACATCTTCATTAACCATTCTTCAATTGAGGGGCATCTAGGTTGCTTCCAGGTTCTTGCTATTACAAATAGTGCTGCTATGAACATAGTTGAACAGATGTCTTTGTTGCATGGATGTGAATCCTTTGGGTATATGCCTAAGCATTTTTAAGATAATAATAAGGAGCTAGGTAATGGTTTGTGTCTGGATTTAAAGGATAAAGAATAATATTGATAATGATGCCAGGGATTTGGGACCTAAGTTACAGAAATTAAGATGATTCAGAATGTGAAAAATAGACAGGGAAGAAATCAGTTCTGCTTTGGGAGTGTTTAATGTAAGATATCTAATAAATAATCAAGAAAGCAACAGACAAATTCACATTTCAAGCATCGCAGATGATACTGAACATACAAATCCATACATAAATAAAGAGACTGAATCAGATCAACATGGGGTTTAAAGAGACTGCAGAAGAGAAAAAGTTCAAGTACTGAGCCTTCTGGCTTCTAATATGAGAAGCTGTAAAACAAGGAAGAGAGGCTGCAAAAAAGAGGCAGCCTTTGATGCAAGAGAGACCCCAATGTGTTGTGCTGAGGTACAGAGAGCTTAGAGAAGAGGAAAGGGACATCTTAGAAGTTTCTGTTGACAGCTATAAATGTGGCAGTTATAAATGTGGCTTTAAAAATCTCATGGAGGGATAGAAAGATGGCTCAGCAGTGAAGAACACTTTCTGCTCTTCCAGAGAACCTGGGTTGGATTCCCAGCACCAATATGGCAGTTCACAAATACCTATAACTCCAGATCCTCTTCTAGAGACTATGGCATTAGGCACACACAAGGTGCACCGACACACATGAACGCAAAATAGTCAGACACAGAAAATAAATTAATCAATAAATTAATTAAAAAAGCAAAAAAGAAACTTACAGTAACATGCTCCCAATGCCCAGGCCACTGGGCAGCCACTGCTGCTATGAACAAATGGAAAAATCATCAGATTTGGTAAGACACATTGTAAGTTCAAAAAAAAAATCTTTCCCAAATTAAGAATGGGGAATATCATCATGATGGGAATTAGGACTCTGTATAATGCCACAACAAGTGCCTGAAAATGAAAAAAAAAAAATAATAAATGAAGGTATAACCAACTCAGTTGTGATTGACATAATGCCAATTATAATTACTGTCAATCAAACAAGAAGGAGCTCGTGGACTCCAGTCTGATAGCTGGGAAACCAGTATAGGACAGATCCAGATTCCTTGAATATGGTGTTAGTTGGAAGGACTGGTCAGTCTATGGGGCCTCTGCTAGTGGATCAGTATTTATCCCTAGTATATGAATGGTCTTTGGGAGCCCATTCCACATACTGGGATACTCTCTCAGCCTAGGCACATGGGGGAGGGCCTGGGCCCTGCTCCAAATGATATGACAGACTTTGAAGACTCCCCAGGGAAGGCCTCACCCTCCTTAGGGAGCAGAAAGGGGAAGGGATAGAGATTAGTGGGGGAACAGGGAGGATGGGAGGGTGCAGGAACTGAGACTGACATGTAAAACAAGATTTTTTTTTTAAGATTTAAATTAAAAATATCATAGGAGAAAGAGGAGGGGAGAAGAGGAGGGGAAGGAATAACATGAGCGATCAGGAAGATTGAGTGGGGATATGAATAGGGGGAGCAAGAAAATAGACACATCAATAGAGGGAACCATGATAGTTTTAAAGAGAAATCTGGCACTAGCAAATTGTACAGAGATCCACAAGGATGACTCCAACTAGGAATCTAAGCAATAGTGGAGAGGCTACCTTAAATGCCCTTCCCCTATAATGAGAATGATGACTACCTTAAATGCCATCCTAGAGCCTTCATCCAGTAGCTTATGGAAGCAGAAGCAGAGATCCATAGCTAAGCAGTGAACTAAACTCTTGGAATCCAGTTTTAGACAGGGAGCATTGATGAACAAAGGGGTCAAGATCATGCTGGGAAAATCCACAGAAACAGCTGGCCTGAGAAAGTGGGAACTCATGGACCCCAGTCTGACAGTTGGGGAACCAACATAGGACCAAACCAGGACCCCTGAATGTAGGTGTCAGCTAGGAGGACTGGGCAGGCTATGGGGCCTCTTGCAGTGAAACCAGGATGTAACCCTAGTACATGAACAGACTTCAGGAGCCCATTCCCCATGGAGGGATACTCCCTTAGCCTAGGTACAGGGAAGAGGGCCTATGTCCTACCCCAAATGACTTGACAGATTTTGATGATCCCTCATGGAAGGCCTCACCCTCCCTGGGGAGTGGATGGGGATGGAATGAGGGGGTTGGAGGGGGACATGGGAGGATGGGAGGGAGAGGGAACTGGGATTGATACACACTGCTAACCATGTTAACTCCTTATCAAAGAATGTTTCTATGGCCCTAGTCACTCAAAATAAATGTTTTAGAAGAGGCTGTCCTTTATATGGGAAATCAGATTCAGAATATTAAAACACATTTAACAACACTGAGTCATGCTGATTTTAGATGGATCAGTGTCACTACTCTACCTTATAATGGTTCATATATGTCATGGAATCAAATACAGGCTCATTTGAGAGGTGTCAGAAATAGTTCCCAACTAGGCATAGACATGGGTACTTTACATTCTCAGACCAATGCTATTAGCCATTCCAGGCTCCAGGTTTCTTCAGCAAGGTCATAGCTAATTACTTTGTTAATTCAGTTAAAACTTTTATTAATAACAACTCTTATGGAACTTTCTTATCAATTTGAGAATTATAGGAGCACTAATCTTTTTACTTTTTTCATTCCAGTCCTCTTTAAATGAGTAAAATCTACAATGCACATTTCCTGGAGAGGAATTCATACACTGAATTTATTAAACAAAAAGCAGGGAATTGCTGTGGTTCACAAGGTCATACAGTGAGATTTCAGTTGATAAACTCACCAGGCTACCCATAGGAATTCCACTGGAGAAAAATTCCCACTTGCAAAGCCCTGGGGATACCTGCCTTTTGAATAGTCACTGTCATCCCTATAAAACCCTTGTGGAACCATATGGCTCCCCCTTCTCCATAAGGGGATCCCCCCCAAGCCCCAGCAGTGTATTAATCAATTATTGGGCACAACTCTGTCCTGTCCTGGTAAATTGGTTAATCTTCCCCCACACTGTGGGGCCCTGGTGTGAAAACACAGTCAAGGAAATCTTTTGTTCTCATAGCCAAATCTATATAACTTACAAGTTAGCTCCCTACAATTATCTTCTAGCAGGACACCCCATGTTGCAGGTCCAGAGGCTGATTACCTTATCTTGTTCTGGTCCTCCAAAGCAGCTATTCCTTGTCAGAACTAACATATTGAGACAGTAGATTAAACAAAACAAAAACCCAAAGCAAGCAAGCAAACAATAAATAATCTTTTAGAATCTACTCACTTAGCTACCAATCCAAAAGCTTGGAGTACCATCAGATAGCATCTTGAGCCTACAGAAAAGCTTCCCCCAAATTAATATCCTTGCTTCTCTGATGTACTCACCAATGTATTTTAAACTTTATTTAAGTCTTCTCTGCTCTGTAAAACCATTAAAAAAAAAAATTGTGGACCTGCTTTCACGTTGGGGCATGGAATTTGGGTAACCTAAACCAATTGACTCCAGAATAAACTCTTACTCTTTTTGAGATGAGAGCTGTGGTTTTTGCGTCGACATATTTGTAAAATGTGCCTGATTAACTCATTGCTTTAATTTTTGTTTCCAGTAGCACGTTACATCTGAATTCATCATAAGGAAATAGGCTCTTACTGTACACTACACAGGGCTTGCAACTGTTAGCTCACTGTTGCAGGTTAGAGTTAGGCTCCACCCTTGCGGCTTTTGAAAAAAAGGGAGTAAGGCCGGGTTGTATGCAAACCGAGTTCCCATAATGCCTTGCTTTCTTTGGAACCGAAGGCACTTACAAATTAGAAAATATCCTGTAACTGACTTGCTAGGTTTTGATTCTGTTACTGCGTCCCTGAAGCAATTTCCCAGGAGATGTACCACATAAACCCCATGAACGAGTAGTAAACAAGACCCCGCCCAACAAGAGGAAGCTGACTCCGGAACTCAGCGCCATTTCCCGCACCCAGGGAGTGGTTGCCTTCTCTTTGTAGTTCGATGTGCCTGAAACCCGTGTGAAGAAAATGAAGGATTCTTGGAGATCACAGCGGCTGAACCCTATAGGGCGCCTTGTAGCTTTCTGCTGTGGCAGGGTCCTGCTGGCCGTCCTGCTCCTGTTCTTGCCGTCATCTATCTTGGGTGAGCCACAGGGAGGCGCGGGGAGGCACGGACGCGGTGCACCCAGACCCGCAGTAAATGGGCGCAGCACAGACTCCAGCGCTGGTCTAGGGTCCGGGTGGGTGCCCAGCGCCCTTTCCCGTGGGTGAGTGTGGGACTCTCAGCCCAGCTTGTACTCAGCCTGTAGGATTGCTTGGTCTCCCACCGGCTTGTCTGTACTGAGTGTAGAGCCAGTTGTGAAAATAGGGTGTGAGAGTCGGGGGAAGTCATGTAAATCTGCAAGACTCAATTTCTAATCCTAGAATTCGGTTGTGAGGAAAGTTAATATGCCCGTGTGTTTCCTCATCTGTGAAATGGAGATACTGAGGTCTTTCGTGATGTTGCTATTTAATTGGTGTTGTTAAGTGACTAACCCAAGTCCTGCTACTTAATTTATTTCTATCCTCCAGCAGTTATTTGCTCCGAAGGCCTAGACGAAGCCTAGGGACTGTGCCCTTTGTCTCCTGCCCCAAACCCTCATCAACTAACTTGAGTCCCCACTTTAAGGACAACCCCCCCCCCCTCCTACCCTATGTTAGTATTTGAAGAGCAGAGAAACTCCAGGGTGCAATGAAATGTTTGCAAGTTAAAAGGACCGTGGAATTTACATATTACAATTAAGTGCAAAATAGAGTGCCCATTTTACTCACTGTGGAAGTTCTAAGTTCCCTTCCATCCTCTTCAATAAGAACTTTCTTTAGAGAAAGACTTTTGCGTTGTTTAGACGCAAAATGACAGTCTTGTGTTTTTGTTGAGCTTGGGTTTAAGCTTTCCACAAGACCGATTGTTTCTGAGAGCAGAGAAAAAGTAAAAACAAAATTTGTGCAAAAATTTGTGCTTAAATTTTTATCTCCTTAGGTACACATAACTGGTCAGATGATGACATGTGATAAAATTTAAAATTTTATTTTTAGAAAATAAGTTTATCAAGAAGGTTAGGAATCTCCTATTATTGCTTAGGGATCTTTGTGGCTTTGTCATCTTCTGGCTAAAATGTTACTACAGTTTTGCCATAGGTATTAAGCTACTGTTATAAACAACTCCAGGCATTATCATGTGCAAAGGAAATTTACCAAGGTTATCACAGTTTCCTTCAAATGTGACTCACACTATGGAGCACTTTAGTTCACAGAGTTGAGATGAAGAAAATACCACTAGAATATTTCCATTGGCCAATTTAAACAAAATATAGTGGGGAGCTTCACCTCAACTGTATATACATAGAGAAACTGGTTCAGGGTTTCCATTCTCTGCCACTTACAAGTGAGGACCTTGGATCCAGCAAATCAATTAACAAGTGCCCACATGTGTGCCTCTGACAGCATTTTCAAAATTGGGCAGACCTGTGAGCAGCAATAATGAGTCCAGAAAAAATAAAAATGAAATTTCTGCTTAAATTTTTATCTTCCTAGGTACACATGACAATTGGCCAGATGATGATATATGATAAAATTTTATTTTTAAAAAATATGTTTACCAAGAAGGTTAGGAATCTACTATCAGTGCTTAGGCCTCTTTGTGGCTTTTTCATCTTCTGGCATGAGAACAGTTAAAAGTAAGAAGGCTCACCATATCAGTTATAAGCAATAAGTAATTAAATTTGTCAGTGCTGTTTACTGGCAGATAAGTCACTACTGCTGGAAAGTGGCTCAGCAGTGGCAAAGAAAGAAGGAAGGAAGGAAGGAAGGATTCCTATCATGTGACTGGATTTTTTACTCTCAGGATTTTACTTAATAGAAATAAAAATCTGTGTCCAACAGAGAAAAATCTACATTAGTTTTTACACCTGGGTGTTTTTTGTTATTTTTTTAGATTTTATTTATTTTTATTTTACCTATATTAGTGTCTATTAGTGTTTCCCTGCATTTATGTCTATGTACAATATGCATGCAGTGCCTACAGAAGCCAGAAGAGGGCATCAGATGCCCTGAGACTGGAGTCACAGAAGGCTCTGAGCTGCCATGTGGGTGCTGGAAATTGAACCTGGGTTCTTTGGAAGACCAGAAAGAGCTCTTAACTGCTGAACAGCCATCTCTCTAACTCTTCCATTGCTACATTATAGGTAATAGCCAATAAGTGCAAACAACCAAAATGTCCTTCAGTTAAATTATGGCATAGTTATTTATCTAAACTGAATATTTCACAGCAATGAAATAGCATGCAACCTAGGTGAATCTCAAAGTAATTATACTTTGTAAAGCTAGGCCAAAGAAAAAACAAAAACTGATCTAAAAAGTTAAGTTTTTGTAGTTAGAGCAGTATGGAAATACCTGGAGGAAGCAAAAGGATGGATTATAAGGGCAAAAGGAGTATGAGAGAAATGCTTGTCTTTATTTCAGTGAATGTTTTATCATGCATACATAATATCAAGTAATAAATTTTTGTACTTTAAATGTTCATCAACTCTATGCATTATATCTTAATGGAGTCGTAAAAATAACTTGAATTATGAAAGTCTTGGCTTTATGAAGTGCCTATTAATGTTTCTATCATAAAAATAGCCATAATTTGAGGGATGGGTAACAGGAGGCGAAGGAAACTAGATAACCTTTCTCTGTTGAATGCTCATACATACCTTTACATTTGTGCTATTATATAAATTAATATTATTATTACATATAGTATTTATATGTACAACTTCAGTAAGTATAGATAATTAAAAAAAAAATCAGTCCAAGAATAGTTCCAGCAATTTTCTGTATTGCTTTACAACTCTTTCCGGCCTCTCCCTAGGAGCTTTGCTGTGAGGATCAGCTTCTCTTGCCTTTTTATTTATTTGTTTTTCTTTTAATTGGACACTGCACTTGGGATTGATTCCCTTGCTGGGACTAATGGGAGAGACAATTATCAGCATTGCATTCATCCTGCATGTCAGAAAAAAGGTGAAGACATAGTATTTGAAATCACAGAGACCTTTATTCACTCAGTGGTTTTGTTGTTCTTTTTCTTTTCTCCATATTTATCACAGTCGTTTTCACAGGAATTGTTTTTTTTTTTTTCACTTAAGTAGGTTTTTTGTTTTGTTTCCCAAAGTGATAATAACTTTGAAACTTAGAAATATGTGGACTCTAACGAAAACTCTGCAAATGAGGGCTTCTTGGGACATAGTCTATCTGTCTGAACTCTTTATGGTACTTATTTTACAGTATGTCTTTTATTTGATTATGGCAACAAAATATGTCCACTGTGTATAATTGAGTGCTAAGCTCTGGGCCAGGTATTTATCTAGAGAAACAAATGATATTTGGTCTCTTACCTTCACATTATCTAGCTCTGATAGCTATTGAAAGAAATCTTACCAAAAGCATACATATGTAAAAATCACAAGTTATAATAATAAAATATTATTGATATGGCAGGAAAAAGTATAATGGATAAAGTAAGAACAAGTAGTTTAAATTTCATATTTTTCAGGAGGTTGTCAGTTAAGAGGTATGTTAGCTGAGACCCTGAAGAGTTATAGAGAAATAAACGATCCCACAGAGAATGTTTTCAGAGATAGAGAATGAATGCATGTATGGAGGAAACAGATGTGGAAAGAGCTGGAGCATAGTAAAAGACAGGTTGAACTTGATGAAATATACATGTGAAAACACAGCAGGGTACCCATGGTTCAGTAGAGTGTATGGGGACAGCCAGTCAGTCTAAAATTCCTAAAATTAGGAACATGAACTTTGTTAACGTGAACCTTCTTCTTTAATAGGCAGTGGTCTCCAATTCTAATTCTAACCATTGCCAACAGAAAAAAAAAAAAAAATCAGCTTTAGAAATTCTTGTGTCTGTTGATTTATATTTAGGAACCATGATAAGAATTTATGAGGTATAAATCCTAGGCCAAATGTGGAATGTATCATTCAGAAACTCTCTGAAATCATCAGTTGCATATGTCTTTCGGGGCTTTCCTAACAATGGGTTCATTTCCTACAGATTTTTGGCAGAAAATAAACTTTTGGAAATAATTACATATGCCCACTTTACTATAAACTGATAACTGTTGTCTCTTTTATATGAATAACAATCACAACTTACCAGGACTCCACTGTGTGTGTGATGAGAGTAAATGTTTTACATAAACTTTCTTTGATACCCATAGGGAACTTACTAAGTGAATAATGCCATCCTCTTCAAGAAGATGGAGAGACTCTGACATGTTAAGCAGTTTGCCCAAGACATCAAAGCTAGGAATGGAAGGACATTAGGTTCAAAAGGCCAGGTCTTTCTGAGTCTATTGTTTTTAATACTATGTCTTTTCAGTTTTATCTTGATACTGAAACTTTATGGCCTTAAACAAAAGAAATGTGTTCTCTTGTAGTTAATTCTGGATTTCCAAGTCTAGTTTGCTGTGTTGCGCTGTAGGCCACAGAGGAAAATTAGTTTCTTTACTCTTTCCCGCTTCCAGATGCTGCCTGTATCTCTTGGCTCATGGCTATTTCCCCTACTTCAAAGCCAAGAGCTTTATATTTTCAAATATCCTTCCATCTCTTGCAAACCTCTTACTTAAGGTTCATTGTGAATATATTTAGTGTTTATCCAGGGTAATCTGTAGAACTTAAAAAAATGCTTAGTAATATCTACACAACCATTATACCATAAAATGCCATGCTTACATACTCTAGGGATTAGAACATAAGTATCCTTGGGAAGCAGTAACTTAGTATATTACTTTTCTAGTCACTGTGACAAAATAACTAACATAAACAATCTGAAGGAGAATAAACTTATTTTAGTTCATGTTTTCAGTGGGTTCAGTCTGTGCTGGTTGAGGAAACATGGCAATGGAGCAGTTGGGAGTCTGTAGCACGGGGAGTCTATAGCAGCTGGGTTCTTGCTTGGTATCAGGACAGGAAACAGAGAGCATTGGCCTGACCCAAAAGTGGATATATCATTGAAAGTTGTGCCCTTATTGTCCCACACTGCTGGATTGACCCCATGCCCCAAAGATTCCACCACCTCCCAAAATATCCTCAACAACTGGAATCCAAGAGTGACAGTGATGGACATTTGCAGCCAAACTATAGCATTTAGTCTACTATGCCTTTCTAGGTAGACTTTCTTGAGTTCAGCCACAAGAGGGAGTCTATTGCCATCAGCATCCAGGCTAGTAGAAAGTAACTGGCCTTCAGCAAACAGATTACAGTGTCTGTACTGAAGATGATTAGTTGTGGGTTAAAATACACATCATATTTAAATGTTTGATAGTAATAGAACAACAGTTGGAAGTAGATGGAGTTGCATTTTCTGTGATTCTTGGTGGAGAAATTATATTGTTGTTATTAGATGTTTATGTATATATTAAGATCATGTTATTTTTGAAAGGAAAAAAAGTATAGTAAAAGTGACAATAGTAAATGTAACCACTAATCAAACAAAATGAAAGAACAAAAGACCACAAAAGACAAAAACCACAAAAGACAAAAAGAGTAGTAAGATGGCAAAGTTAATCTTAATTTTATTAAATATTATTAGTCAATTCCTATCTAAAAACAAAAGTTGTCACGTGACCAAATATTTGAAACTATGGGCTAAGGGAGCAGGGGGCCCATGGCAGACTCACAGATGTACCTTAAAAGTACTGTTTGTTTCTGATGCTTTGATAAACACAGTGAACAAAAGCACTGTGGGGAAAAAAAAATTAGGTTTACTTGGCTTACAGATTATAGTTCATCACTAAGGGAAGGGTTCCAAGGCAGACACTCAAGGAACTCAAGGGACTAGAAGCAGAGACCACAATGGAATGTTACTTACTAGCTTGTTTCCCTACAGCCCAGGTTCACCTGCCCAGAAGTGGCATCACACACAGTGGGCTAGGCCCTCCTAAATAAGTCATTAATCAAGAAAATGCCCTCACATACATATAACACAGGCAAGTCTTATAAAGACAGTTTCCCAGGTAACTACTTTATGTCAGGTTGACAAAGACTCACCAGCACAGAAAGATTTTAAAATTTCACTGAAAATAAAAGCTCTTGGTTTCTTTCAGGTACTATGTACAATACAAGCTACAGTTCAGACTAGCTTCTGGCTCCAGAGATAGATTATACTAGGCCAAAGCTTTGTAAACTTGGGCTTTAGCAGTTGCAGTTGCTATGTAAAGAGTACCACATAAAAATTAATGTGGAACAGGAAATGAAATGGACATTTTCAGTCTGATCCAAAGGTTTGAGAAGTTATATAAGGCCTCTAATCTCATTGCATAATTAGTGATATGGACAAGAGACTTACATTGTTTGAACATAGTTATATCATCATTTAGACTAAAAATGTCATTAAAAATTAATGAGACTCTAAAGACCTTGTAACATAAGCTTGAAAACATCTGTCATAATGACTCAAAAATGAGACAGTAATACAATCAAAAGGAATAATAATTTCAAGACAGGGCAGGTGAATATAAAAGGATGGAAAACACCATGTCAGAACAAACCAAGAGCTAGCTTGGTAAATGGCATTATGATAATACAGGGTTGGGAAAGTAGCTCAGCAGTTAAAGCACTTATTATACAAGGATGAGAACTGATATTCAGATTACCAGAAACTCATACTGGGTGAGTGTGTCAGCCTACCTGTAATTCCAGCCTCTAAAAGTATAGACAGGGGATCCCCAGAGTAATTAGCCAGCAAGATGAGCCACATCAGCAAGGTGTGGGTTTCACTGAAAGACTCCGCTCCAGTGAGAAAATTGGAAGAGTTGATAGAGGATGATTTTCAACATCGCCCCAGGCTTCCAAGTGAACACACACATACACACACACACACACACACACACACACACACACACAAAACAATTGAAATATAGGATATTAAATATGCTTTCCTATTTAGTTTTATTTCACAAACAAAATAGAACATAAAGCAAGATAAGATTGTTGTGAAAACTAGATATATTTATGATAAACAGTTAACCTTTCATGAAATATAACAATTTAAGTTTGCATATTCTAATGATACAATATATAAAAAAGTGGACATATTGAAAGGAAATAGACAATAGAATATTTGAACATGACTTTTGAGCATCTAGTAGAACAAGCAGATCCATCAAAATCAGTAAGTTATAAAATAATTTTAAACTAACATACATACTGCAGTTGCCAAAGTTGACCATATGCAAAACATGATGCAATCAACTTAAATAATAGCTAGAAATATGTTGCTCAAAATCTTTTGTATGCCTTAATCCATCCTTTATAATTTAAACTAATTAACTGAGTATTGGAAGGAAAAGAAGTCATAACAAAAAATGTAATATTTCCAAAGTTAAGATTTTTTCCAACAGTTAATTGTTGATTAGTTATTATTGGAACTGACAAGTTAATTCTGCCAAGCCTTAAGGGATGATAACTGAATCTAGAAGTTAAATAAAAACATATATCAGGAAATACATTCACAAATGAAATACAGTTTTGGTTTTTGAGTCCTTGGCCAACGTGCTGATCCATTCCTGAATGCAAGCTATTAGAGCTTGCTGAACAACTGAGAGTGTTGAGGGGGTGGTTCAATGCATGAGTATGTTTGTGAGGATGGGATGGATAACATCTAAGCATAGATACTCTCTGACTGGTTGACAATTGGAACCATATGTGGAGTTTCCCCCTCAGTGAAAGACTATCTGCCCTACCTATATTATATTAATATACTACATGTGAATTAAGCTACATACACATTGCTTACAACAAAACAAAACACAGGTCTCCATAACTCCAGTTCCAGGGGATCCAATACCATCTCCTGACTTTCAAAGGTACCGCATGCATGTGGTGCATGAGTCATGAAATAAAATGAATAAATCTAAAAAATGTTATTAAAGCAGAGGCATTTTTAAAAGCAGAGACTTTAATAATAGATGCTAACTGAAGTTATTTTAAAAGCTTACTTAAAAATACCCATTAAAGGAATTATTCCTTTTACTACTATTAGAGTATTCTGTTTCTTCTTTGATAACATCTATGGAGTGAAATGGAGAGAAAGAAAAGTTCTTTCATTAATAACAGTAATGTTGCTTTGTTGTCATTCTCCAGGCCAGTGCCAATCCCCACCATGGTTTTCATTTGCCAGCCGTTTAAATGGAACTGATGAATCTGTGTTTCCCATTGGAACATATTTGATGTATGAATGTCGCCCAGGACATTTCAGCAGGCATTTCTTCATCATCTGTCAACAAAACTCAGACTGGACAAGTGCTGAAAATATATGTATACGTGAGTAACTGAAGAGGAAGCTGACAAATAGTATATACTTTGTGACAAATAGTAGAGCTTCAGTTTATCTGGATTTAAAATTATGACATATGTCACTAATAATATCTAAGGTATACAGTACATTGAATCGTTCTTGTAGGTCGTATTTTTTTACTCTGTGCTTCTGTCTTCTCAAGTGTTAATAAATTTAATAATAATGATCACCATAAGGCATGACTGAAGCAAAGTACCCTCAGGATATTTCACTTAGTGTATCCAACTTTGCAAATGTCACTAAGTAATTCATGATTCTGAAACAAAAGAGCATTTAGTAACTAAGAGATGAAAAAGAAAAAAAAGAAAAAGAAAAAATTCCCAGACTTTGAGACATATGAATTAGAACATTTAGAAGAATGTTTTGGTAATAAATGATGTATACATGTTTTTGGGAGTCACCATATGACAATAAGAAAGAACTCGGATTTTTCTTTTGGAAAGTAGTATCTGGTTAGTTTCCTCAAAGTGGCAAAAATCTGCAAAATGTAACAATTATGTATGTTCTCTACAGTAAGTTATAGTTACTTAGAATCTCATAAACTAAGAAAAGTTCAGTTTACTTTACTTAGTTCCAAAATTCTGTTTCTTTTTCACAGGCAAACAATGTGAAACTCCTAAAGATCTTGACAATGGCAAAGTACACGTACTCACAGACTTTCGGTTTGGGTCCATTATTAATTATACTTGTAATACAGGGTGAGTTAACAACAACATCTCTTCGATCAAGACTTCAGGAACATTGATACTACATTCTAGTCAGGTCTCTTCCTGACTTGTTACTTCCTGCTTTGTTTTTTGGTAAAATGGTCAATTTAATAAAAGAATGTAACAATTATAGACGCATATTCATGTCAGAACACATGAATATATATAAAGCAAATATTAGCAGAATTGAAGGATGAAATTGACAGCATTACCATACTTATACAGGACTTCAATACTCTCAACAAACTCATTTAAAAAGGAACAGCTTTAAATAAATAGCCATCAAATAACAGAAGAATCTATATTCTTCTCAAGCATACATACAACAGTTTGTAAAACATGTAAAATAGTAGACAACTATCATGACTACACTATATCAGAAACAAATTAATGTGTTTTTGTCTCTTCATAATAGCAGAACGTATTAACAATAATTTCACTAGGTATAAATCATGATTTCAGTAGCAATAACTTGGTAGTTAATACTGTTTTTTGGGTGACCTTGGCTGAGGTGAATATAAAGTTTTGTTTTTGTTTTTTGTAAATAATCCAATTACTAATATTAACTTCTAGCTTATGCATTACACACACACACACCCTCTCTGTTATGTGTTAGGGATACTATTGCTGTGATGAAATACTCCAAATACCCCAAAGCAACTTGGGGAGGAAAGGGTTTATTTGGTTTATGCTTCCAAATCACTGTTCACATTGAAGGATGTCAGGACAGGAACTCAAATGGGGCAAGAACCTGAAGGTAAGAGCTAATTCAGAGGCATGGAGGAGTGCTACTTACTGGCTTCCTTACAGTTTCAGAAGTTAGTTCTTTATCATCAGAGTGGGGAGCTATATCCTGATCTCTAGGCAGACTGGGCAGGAGAGAGGGAGGGAGGGAGAGAGAGAGGGAGAGAGAGAGAGAGAGAGAGATGCTGGGCCTGGTGTGGGCTTTTGAAACCTCAAAGCGCACTCCCAGTAACATGCTTCCTTCAATAAGACCATATCTCCTTATCCTTTTAATCCTTCTCAGATCGTACTACTTCCTAATGACTAAGCATTCAAATATGTGAGCCTATGGAGTATATTCTTATTCAAGCCACTGTGTGTGTTGTGTGTGTGTGCGAGTTTCAGAAAAAATCAAAGCTAAGAAACCAGATGCCACAGTCTTTGCATTAATAAATCCTGAACCAAACTGTGACAAAGAAGCTAAAGAAGCTGTGGTGACTGTGAATTGGCCTAGCAGGTAAATCTTTGAGAGGAAAGGTATATAATTGAATGTAGCTGAAGAGGCAAAGATAAATTCTTAGATAAATTCCATTTACTTACCACAGCCTTTCAACAAAGGAAACTGTAGGACCTGATAGCTTCATCACTGAATTCTAATTTATGTTATGAGGCCAATATTATGCTAATACCAAAATCAGACATGACAACAGAAGAAAATTGCTGGCCAATATCCTTAATAAACATGCTTATTATTCTCTACAATTCTACTACAGAATTTACGAGTGCATACCAGGGGCTAATGACATTAATTGCCAACATCCATATAAGTCATGGCTTCCTGTGCCTGGGGAAATGAGAGACAGACAGATCCTAAGAGATTGCTGGCCAACCTCCCTAGCCAAAAGAGTGAGTTTTTAGCCCAGTGAGAGATTTTATCTCAAGACAGTGAACTAAGAAGATGCCTTGCATCCTGCTCTGAGTTCCTTGTACACACATATGAGCACACTATCACACAGGCCCCATGTTTACTCACACAACATACACACTGTCATACATTGTGATTAAGTGGGAATTTATCACTGAAATGCAAGCTTGGCAATGTATAAATAAGGTGTGATATATCACACTGACAGAATGAGTTATAAAAACATAACTATTGCTAGAAGAAGAAAAATTTGAAAAAATTCAAACTCAAGTTCTCTAAAAATTAGTCATAAAAGGAATATAATTTTCCTATATTTTTCACATATGACAAGTCTATAACTTGTATTCAATAATTGTATTCAATGGTTAAAGGAAGTCTTTTCTATAAGATTAGCAGCACAAAATCATTTTCACCTCTCTGAAAGGAAAGCTTTTCCCTGCCCTGTCTCTGAACAGCTATCTTCTTTCTATGGATGTCCCTGATTTTGAACATACTCTATTGTCTGTCAGTAGGTAAATGGTTAAATGAATGATGCATCATGCTATGTGCTCTAACTTACAGCAAAAGGAATTGCTTGATAAATAACCAGGAATTATGCTGAATAGAAAGCTATATGGCCACATTCTATGTTATTCTTTATATAACTTTAAAAATTACATAATTATAGAAATGGTTACCAACCATAAGAATGAGTGAGGAAAATCAGGAATGGGAAGGAGCAAAATGAGTATCACAGTAAATAGACAGTACAAGAGATTTTGTGTTTATTTTAGTTCTTTCTGTGGTGGGAAATATGCAAGCCTTCATGTAAAATCATGTCCTCTTTCCCACTGGTTAGTGGTGGCACATGCCTTTTATCCCAAAATTCAGATCTCTGAGTTCAAGGCCAGCTTGCACTACAGAGTGAGTTCCAGGACAGTCAGAAAGAAACAGACATATCCTGTCTCAAAAAACTGAGAGAGGGAGAGAGGGAGGGAGGGAGATGTGGGGAGAGAGAGAGAGAGAGAAAGTGTGAGAGAGAGTGTGTAGTTGTACTTCCCAAAATGACATGTTTATGTATAAATCTAACAAAATACATATGAAATAAGTGTCATGAGTTGTTTTAATTTTATGGCACACTAGACAATTAGCAGCATAATAAATGAGAACTGCTGCCTTTAATCAAGTATTTCTGTTTAAAGTATGAAAAATTTATTTAACTTTTTGGTCACATTTGAGTTCCTTGGTTCTAGGTTAATGAATCTTACTAAAAAGGCATACCCTTAAGTAGGCATTCATGCTTTTGAGATATAAATGAATTCATTCATATTAGTATAATATACACATACACATGATATATCCTTTGCCCTCAAGAAGTTTGTTATGTCTTTAAAAGTAAGACTTACAGGAAACCACTATAATTTACTGAAGATTATGTAAGATAATAAAAAGAAAAATCTCATTTAGTTGGGAAGGTATTAAGAAGAAAACCAAAAAGTCCAAAGAAGCATGTAAGATTTGAGAGCTCATGGTCTTGACAAGAAAAAAATATCTCCTGATGCTTGTAAGGTAGTAGTAATTTCTGGGAATCAGCAATTTAAGCAGGCAATTACTTATGGATTAATTAACATTCTTCTGTGTGTAGATACCGCCTCATTGGTTCCTCCTCTGCTGTATGCATAGTCTCAGATAAAACTGTCACTTGGGATAATGAGGCACCTGTTTGTCAGAGTAAGTTGAATTTTTTATTTCTGTTACCTTTACTCATGTACTTTAAATTTTCTCTGGAAATACATGTATATTTTTGGGGGCTGAGATTGAACCCAGGACCTCCTTCATGTCTTTTAGAAAGTGTTCTATCACAGTTGTAAACCTAAAGCCCTGTAAGGGATTTTAAGAATCTTTATTAAAATTCCTTTTTTAGAATCTGTTCTTCAAGTTAATCACGATGTTCTGGCTAGTTTTAGCTCAACTTGACACAAGCTAGAGTCATTTGAAAATAAGGATTCCCAATTGAGAAAACGTCTTCATAAGATCTGGTTATAGGTAAGCCTGTAAGGCTTTTCTTAATTAGTGATCTATGTAGGAGGGCCCAGCCCATTGTGGGCAGTGTCAGTCCTGGGCTGTGGTCCTGGGTTCTATACAAAAGCCATGGGGAGTATAAGCAGCACCCTCCATGTCCTCTGTATCAGCTGCTGCCTTCGGGTTCCTTCCTGATTTGAGTTCCTGCCTTGGCTTCTCTCAGTAGACTGTGTTTCAGGATATGTAAGCAAAATAAACTCTTTCCTTCCCAAGTTGCCTTTGGTCATGGTTTTTCATCACACTAATAGTAACCCTAAGACAGAAGACAACTGCAGCATTCTTGAGTAGGTTTCTTGGCAACTTCCTTTAAGTTCTTCTTTGTCCTGGCATGTTCCTTTTCTAAATTAGAACATATAAATGTATAAAAGTCTTCAAATCTTATTTTTTTAACCTCAATTCACTTTAAGTTATGTTTGTTTTTCAATCTCTAATATATTTATCATTCTGCTTGGCAAATTAGTAAAATTTTTGTCAGTATTCTTCAAGGTTAGTGAAGCTATGGACTAACCTACACTTTCACTTTAAATATTCATACAGAGTATTTAAACATATGCATTTTATGTAAAAAAAAAATCAAGTGACAGACTGCATATTTTCCAACAAATATAACAATTACATTTTCTTTTGGTCTATGGCCTCTTTTGTTTCTTTTTGAAAATAAAATTTCTACATTTCAACAGTGTTAACTTTCTAACCTTCTAGTTACTGATCTTCCTTCCTTTGTTCCTTCCTTCCTGTAGGGAGTAAGGTTTTTCCTCCCACCGCCTGGTCTTATCCTGCTGCCGCGCCAGCCCCAAATAATGCACAGAGACTCTATATTTGATATAATGCTGTTGGCCAGGTACTAGGTTCTTATCGGCTAGCTCTGTCTTAATTATTAACCCATTTCTATGTATTCCCATGTGGTCTCCTTACCGGGGAGTAGGGCAGGCGTCTGGTCTCCCCGGTCTCTCCATCTTGACTCCTCCTTACTACTTCCTCTTTCCTCCTTGTCTCCTAGTCCCGCCTGTCTTGCTTTCCTATTGGCCAACAGTGCTTTATTCATTAAACCAGTATGAGAAACATATATACATAATGACATCTCCCATCCTCTCCTCTTTTCTGTCTAAATAAAAGGAGGGTTTTAACCTTAACATAGCAAAATATATCACATAACAGTTATCAAATAAGAATCACAGTTAACACTATTTAGTCCATTAACATTTAGCAAGATTTAAGAAACTATTCTATCATCTATCCTATATTTGTGAGTCTAAAGTCCTATATGTAACTTATCTTTAATCCTAACTAAGGAAAACTGTAACCACAACTGTCTTCAACTCCTTCAAAGACCACAGAAGGATAATATATAAACTCTAGAAATGACAGAGACATCTTGCCTATCAGTCACATGAAGTTCTTCTGTAATCTTCCATCTTCAGCCCATAGACCATAGTGTGTTTGGCAGACTCTTTGCAAAGTAGGAAAGTTTAAACTGTTTACTTGTATTGGCAGTTTGTCAGTCACTTTTCTTTGTGTCCTACAGACTGTCTGGCAGACTTGTCCATGAAGCAGGAACTCTGTAGCAATGTCCATCTTGAATCACCAATCACATTTCTATGGGTCCTGCACATCCAGTTTATACAGCATACAGTCAAACAGTCCAGACAAGAGCAGTATCTTGTCCAAATGGCTAGTCTTGCCATATTGGAAGTAAACTCCGTAATGCGCTTCTTCGATGTCCATCTTCCTTTCTGATGCAGGTGGGGTTGCCAGGAGCATTTATGTCTCACTATCAAGAAAAACCCTAAACCATTTTAAATGCCATATTCTGTAGGTCTTTGAAAGGTTTGAAGAATGCCTATCTGTCTCAAATACATCTCTGTGTATCTTGAAAAACATAACTAACTTAACTCTAAGCTTTGATTATCATAAGTAATTATCTATAATCTGTACTACATCATACATTACATTTCTAAATGAGCTATAAAAACACAATACCTAAACAAAAGAAATATAGATATCACAAAATTGACCTTAAATTGTATCAATAATGAAAATCCATTCCAAAACAAAGTATTCATATCTATACCATAATCTCCTTTTTACCTTTAAAAATATTGGTTGTGATCATTAACCATTCATAACCAAGTCCATTTAAATGAAAAGAAACGTTTATCAACAATATTTGGGAATTTGAGCGTCGTTCTTTCCAAACTGCTTTTTGTTGGTAAGGGGTGCTGTTATGGGGGATCCTAAGAAGATGCAGAAATCCTGGCTGTAGTCTGCAAAGCTGCCTTGTTTAAGCTGTTTTGAATGTTGGGATCACCAGGAACGCTGTTTCAGGGGGTCTGGCTTGCTCAAACCACATTAGTCTGGAAGGAATCCACAGCTTTTTATTTTCTGTTGAAGCAAAATTAGAAATCTTTTTCCCCAGTAACTTGTTCTATTAATCCTGTATAGTGTTCTGCCTGCCTGTATGCCCTCAGGCCAGAAGAGGGCACCAGATGTCATTATAGATGATTGTGAGCCACCATGTGGTTCTTGGGAATTGAACACAGGACCTCTGAAAGAGCAGCCAGTGCTCTTAACCTCTGAGTCATCTGTCCAGCCCTTAGTGACTTATTTTCTGTTCAAGAAACCTTTGTCTGTTATAATTATGACATTTTTCCATCGTATACTTTTAAAAGGAATAAGGGAGTTTATTCTGGAGCTATTTTAAGTGACTATGGTTGAGGAAAACAGTTTTAGATTACCCCAAATTCTGTGTTCTAGTGTGGAAACACTTTCATAGTTTTACAGAACAAAGGAAGTTATAAAAAAGACAATTTTAAAAGATTGTTGGGTATATCAGTTACAACAATATGGGAAAAGCTTTTCTATAGATCTAAGATGATAGCTGATGACATTTTTAGCTTTCTAGTTGGTAGAAGGTAGTGGTTTGCTAAGGTAGTAGATTCCAGAAGGTTTCTATCTATTAGTTACAAAACGTTAGTTATGACACAGAAGTGGGGAAGGAATGGCTGGTTTGGAGGACTACAACCTACAACATCCCAGGCTCTCTAGTTTTAGTCAGTCAGTCAGTCCATGCATATACAGCTTATTTTAAGGAATTTTCTCTCACAAAGTTTCTATAGCCATAATCAAGGTGCTTTTAAAATACATTCACTAAGTAGGTGGGCCGAAGTATAGCAGATGCTATACTCTACTATAGACCTCAGATGCTATCTAAAGGTATTCATAGACTTTTGATTAGTAGAAACTAGGATTATGTTAATATATCCCCAAATGTTTTTTTCCATTAGTCACAGGATATTAGGTCTGACATAGAAGTAGACAAGGAATGGCTATTTAAAGGTCTAAAGGTAGCCCAAGATAAAGTGTTAATTAGGCTATGAATCTGCAAAATCATGAGGGGCAGCCTTCTTCCACCCCAACCCCTTGATAATACAATTAGCCAACAGACCGAGGTGATACTTGGTACAGAAATAATCTCCAGAGAACCACCTTGCTCTTTCAAGCAGTAAGGACTTCTTCAGACCATCTTGTAGGACCAGGGCTGAGACAATGATCAATGAAAGGAGACTATACAGCAGGAAGGACCATGGCTGCTTAATCATAAAAAAATCTTGCCTTTTGTCCCAGTTCTTTCTCTGTAATTGTCTGTCATTACCCAGAAGACAGGCTTTGGAGTCAATGGCCCTCTTTTTCTTCTCCTTTTCCCTGTGTGTTCACTTTGAATAACTCTTCTTTTTCTGCTTTTCACCATCTCTTTAGTTTCCTGAGAACTGGTGGCCAAAACTACATATTAGGCCTGACAGAATCCTGGTATAACAACAAATCAGACAGAATTACAGAGAAAAAATGATTTAAGGTTTGGGGAATGAGCTAGGTTAGACAGTCTCTCTTTGTATGATTAATATGCTTGTTATGTAGAGGTGAGCAGGTGACTCATTATAAAAGGAGACCAACACAAAAATAATCAAGTCACTTGCTTATCACTGTAATGAAATAAGTGAGATAACTAACTTCTATAATAAAATATTTATTTCAACTCAATTTTTTTAAGGGTTCAGTCCCTGATTTTGTAGTTCTATTGCTCTGGACCTCTGCTGAAGCAACACCTCATGGTAGGAGCATGTGGAAGAACAAAACTACTCACATCTTAAACTAATGAGCCAAAGCAGAGAGGAAGAGTCAAGGTCCCACATCTTCTCAAGGGCACATCCTCAGTGATGTGCATTTATGCCACTCTGGAGACCAAGCCTTTAGTACATGATTGCTATGGAAACATTGTCTATATTTAAAACACAGCAATAACCCACACTCTTCAGAGAATAGTTTTCTTTTCGCTGCAAGACTCCAGGACACTGCCAAATAGCACTATTTTGATTCAGTGTCAGGAATTTTAATTTTACTTGGCATTACTTTAAGATTTCCAGCTTTGGAAATAGCAGGTGTCAGTCAGCCTTGATTATAAAAGTATTTACAAGGTATTACCAGGACTTGTAGGTATTACCAGGACTTCCTTGGTTAGCAGGACTCCAGATTTTGTCCCTTGATTTGGTGAGCCCACAAGTTCAATAGAATCTTAGTAACCTACTATTGGTTTGGCTTCCTCTTTCCCATGGAACAGTAGCCCAGTGGCACTTTCTTCATTTTCAGTATATTTAGGGGTTTTTGTAAACTAGGGCATAAAAAGCCATCTTATAAAGTTGAGGTTTCTTGTACATGTCTCAAAGTATTTGAAATTATATTTGAAATTTGAAAGAACTTATTTATGTTTTTTTTTCCCCTTGGTATTCTTAAAAATTCTCAGTACAATCCAGTGTCTTACGTATTTTTGAAAGAATATTAATGGTCTATGTTTTTACTTAACCATTACATTTTCAAATGCTTAATATATAGTAATCTACAGTTTCACCAATTTTCTTATATATTTGCAGACACTCAAAATTAATTTTGTATTCCTGTCATTTTGTATTTCATTAAACCTTTTTTTCCTTAGTGAATATTATTTTTTAAAAACTTCCTTTTGGTTATCAGCAAATTTGAAAATTAATAAGCAAGAAGAAAAAGCTGATATAAACTCTGAAATGTGGTCAAAAAGCTATTTCAAATGAAAAGGTCAATTATATTTATAACTGCATATGTTTATAGGAAAAATGTAAGAAAAGTTTATAAGTAAAAATTATTATGTGCACTTAATAGCAACATTTAAAAACACATTGGCAAGTCAATAAATATTCAATGCTTTTAGTAGCATTTATACACATTTATAATGAGTATAAGTATCTTCACTTCAGTAGTTTATTAGATTTCCCTTATTAATATTAAAAAAAATTAATCTGCTCTCTTTGCCCAGTAATTCCTTGTGAACCACCCCAAGCCATTGCCAATGGAGATTTCCTTGCTCCTACAGAAGATTTTCATTATGGGATGGTGGTTACCTATCGCTGCAAAACTGATGAGAGAGGGAAGAATCTCTTTAACCTGGTGGGTGAGCCATCCTTACACTGTACCAGCACTGATGGTAAAGTTGGAGTCTGGAGTGGCCCTCCTCCTCAGTGCATTGAAATCAAGAAATGTACACCTCCTCATGTTGAAAATGCATTCATGGTGTCTGAAAACAGAAGCTTGTTTTCCTTAGGGGATATTGTGGAATTTAGATGTCAGCCTGGATTTATGATGGAAAGAAACAGCAGTGTGCAATGTAACAAACTAAACAAATGGAAGCCAGAGTTACCAAGCTGCTTCAAGGGTAAGTCTAACCAGGGCTTGGGGAGCATGCAATGTTATTGGGGTGTTGGAGGACCAGAGATAAAGGGTGGTTTTTGGAAGAGGGTGCGTGGTGAATACATTGGATGAATAAATTTTCTTGGGAGGGAATATGAAATCAAGAAGGGACATGTGATTATGTGAGTGTTTGTGCACCCTTGTAGGCACATCCACTCAAATTTGAGAAGGAGCTAAATATGAACAAGGAATGTGATATATCCTGGGAATTCTCATATACAGAATTTCTTTTCATGTATTGCCATTTCCATGCCCTTAACAGTTATTCACATGTGTAATCTTTACTAATATGTAATGAATGATCCATGGCTAGTCATATTAAATATGTGCATATTTAATTCCTAAATTGAAGTGGTGGAGTAGTTATCATTTCCTCCATATTGAAGCTTAGGGGTTAGATAATTTTCCAAAGTGATACAGATACTAACTTGCAGAGCAAAAATTAAAATCCAAGTCTGCCCATCTGGCAGATTCTTTAAGGAACAAGGGTTTTCCTATAGATAATGGGTTGTAAAGATATTAGAAGGACAGGAAGAATAACAGGAAAACAATGTTGCCAAAGATCAGGGGCTACTGTTGCTACAGGAATAGAGCTGATAAAGCTGGCCCTATCTTGGTTGACACTGTCAGCCCCTGTCATGGCTGACATATCCAAACCCTGCCACTACTTCCAGGATAGAGCCAGTCATTGATAGTCATTGGTGTTGCTAGAATTTTAGTGGCTACTGCTCACTTGAAAGTCTTTAAGACTGCCTAACCTGATACTATCCCTGGATGTATAAAGGTGTCTGTCACATCTCTTGTCCTTTAGTTTGATACATATATCTTCCAGGTAGCAAAACTTAATTAGAGTTCTTAGAGCAGTGGTTTTCAATGTATGTGTTGGGACAGGACGCCTTTAGCAAACTTCTATCTCCAAAATATTTACATTATGATTCAATTCAATAACAGTAGCAAAATTACAGTTATGAAGTAGCAAAAAAATAATTTTATAAATGTGGGTCACCACAACATGAGGAACTGTATTAGCAGATGACAACATTAAGAAGGTTGACAACCACTGTCCTAGAGCAAAAAAGTTGTAGTTTTCATGTTTCTATCCATAACAATCAAAAAACAATGTATAGCATGGCACTGAGGATCAATAGAAATTTAATCGGCCTAGTCTTCAAATATCACAACTCAATATATTAGTCAAGGAAAACACATGAAAGATGAGCCCTCAAAACAAGTATTATAACATCAAAAATACTTGGAAATCCTTAAGGAAGTCATTTATTCTAGACCAATACTCTAAAGTTCAGGAGGAAAATTGAGTTGGTAGGAGGTTTTGGTGTGTGTGTGCTCCCCATCAGTGAGGCAGGATTCAAAGCTCAGAGCAGAAACTATTGTTAGCACCATTGTGCTTACCCTTTGGGAAATATATTAGAACATTTAGATTCTCCTTATTGACTAATGTATGAAACCCTTGGTGATGCCCTTCTAGTATGGGAATCTAAAATAAACCATCAATCTTTAATTTTGTGTAGGATGAGTAGAAACTGGAAGTGTAGCCGGGCAATGGTGGATCTCTGAGTTCAAAAGTAGCCTGGTCACCAGAGCTAGTTCAGAACAACCAAGGCTACTCAAAGAAACCCTGTCTTGAAAAACAAAATAAAACCAAAAAGAAATTGGGAGTAAATAACTTTTGTGTACCTCTTAGGGAGAAAACAATAACTCAAGACTGTTTAGTTGTAGTCACAGTGTGCATTGTATTGTCACTTTTGGCAGAAAGGTTGTTTAATTTGTCATATATAAATAAAGCTGTTCTACTTTTCTTCTTTCTTTACCCACATATAGTTGTGATCCTCTTGGCATCTGTGATCCAATTTCTCATTGAGGGAAATTTTCACACCATAAAATTTGTTCTCCCTTAATATGTCATCCTGTTTAGAAATCCAACACTAGAAGTATACCCCCAAACAAAGATGATTTTTTTTCCACCAAGCAGAAACCATTGCTCTAGCACTCTCCATGGAGCTGTTTCTCTGAATGTCAGAGTCCTGTGGCTCCCACATGTGCAGGTCTCTAGGCTGTCATCTGGCTTGACGTATATGGCTTGTGTTTTTATTTTCCACACACTGCTATTATTTCTGTTTGGCTCTTTTTTTCTAGTGAAATCCTGTGGTGTTTTCCTGGACCAGCTTCCTAATGGGCGTGTGCTATTTCCACTAAATCTTCAACTTGGGGCCAAAGTGTCCTTCGTTTGTAATGAAGGGTGAGTGTGAGAAGGCCTGATCTATGCTGGACATTAAAATTAAGTCTGAACTTGTCTAAAGTATGGGAAGGTTGGTATGGGGAAGAGAACTTCTGATATTGTATATAAGCAAGATTGGTGACTTGTAGAATTGATAAAAGGAAATATGAAGGGAAAACTGGGACATTTATTAAATGACAGATTCAAAAAACAAGTATACCTACTGGTTTAAAGTGTAGAGGTAATGCACTAAATGAAAAAAATCATTTTCTAATAGAAAATAATTCTAGTAATTTTGAGAAAGTTATAACAATGCATTTGGGATTGTTTTAAGAAATATATAATCCCTCATTAATAGAATTTATAAGAGAAACAAAAAAATAAGATACAGTGTTTTAAAGCCCAGTCATGTGTCATTGGATCAGCAATGAGCTATGGGCTCTGAAATGGGATCATGTTGTCTATTGTTAATATTTTAGCTGAGGTCATAAATGTTATTCACAGCAGACTTGCCTCTGAAACTACCAATCATGGACAACAAAGAACCTGCTCTCCAGTGCTTCACAGAATCCTTGGCAGGCACCAAATATCAGGACCCAAAAGAGTTAGGAGGGCATAAGGATTTAAACATCATTTGAAAATTGTGGATGACGGCATACAAAAAAAAAAAAAAAAAGGTCATAAACCTGTACTTCATAAGTCTTCTGCTTCTCTGAATTACTGAGAGAAGAGTAACTTATTCTTCAGTAACTGCATGCTATTGTGAGCTGCATAGACAACAATTGCAGAAACTGAAACATAAGAACAATCTATTTCCTACCAGTTAGCTCATCTTTCCCAGTGCCAGGGTTGGCAAGATGTTGCATTAGCAGTCTGTTTGCATTTGTGGCAGTGAGCAGTACCCAGTTCCTTTAGCATGATCAGTGCTGCTGGGTAAGGGTCTGGCTGAGCCCTGGCTACTTTAATTTAAACTGGAACTTTATATGACAGGTCCCTTTGCCTTACAATTCTGTTTTACCCACCTGCTGGAAGTTGTGGTAGTCAAGTGGCTCAGCATTTACATACTCCTTTTACCTTCTAGTTCCATTTCCTCAAAAATCCTCAGATGCTTCTTTTGGCTAGGCTTGGGAAATGAGGTCAAAAATTTTACAGTCCACTACCATTTTCTTTCTTAGGTTTCAATTAAAAGGCAGTTCTGCTAGTCATTGTAGTCTGTCTGGAAGGGAAAGTATTTGGAATAGCAGTGTTCCTGAGTGTGAAAGTGAGTATATATCTAGTTGTTCTTCCTAACTTCTTGTATTTTAACCCATACCTCCTTTTCAGTATTTCTTCTATATTCTAATCTGACTTATCAACAGAAGTTAATTACATTAATAAAATTTTGTTTTGAATCAAAGTGAGTATTTCCTTGCTTTGGAACCCCTTTCATCAGCTTCCATCCTTCTGAATTCTGTGTGATATGTCCTGTATGGTTTGCTCCTAGGCCAAGAAAGACTGACAAGTTTCTCTTTCCTTTCTTCTCTTTCTTGGTTTTTCTTTTATGTTCTGCCATCAATATGCAATCACTTATTCATGTTTATTTGGTAATTTGTATATATAAAACAAATGTTCACTTAATCAATTTTTGAGCCAAAATTATGTGCCTTATTTTCATCTGCACTGGAATTACAACAGTGATGAAGATAAGCTAATTTTCTGTCCCCATATTATTTATTCTTAAATAGGGAGATGAACAAGAAACAAATACTATGGAGTTAATTGATCAGAGGAATATGAGGGAAAATTAGGTAAACCCTATGAGACTGAGTAGGCAAGGTAACATTGCCAACATATGCATATAAAGTATGCTAGAATATTAAGAAAAATAAGATTAAAAGAAAACCTCATGTGCAAAATCATCTTTTTAAGTATTTATTTATCTATTTATTTATCTAAGGTGTATGGATATTTTGCCTGCGTGTGTGCATCATGTGCTTGCCTTTTTGCCATAAAATCCAGAAGAGGGTATCAGATCCACTGGGACTGGAGTCACAGTTGGTTATAAGCCACTGTGAGGGTGCTGGGAAACAAACCCAGGTCTGGAAGAGTCCAAGTATTTTATTTTTAACAATAAGTATGAGTCTCTTACAGGCCATAGTCATGCACTTTGTAAGTTGCCTGCTTCTCAGAATTGCTTAGAAAAGCATGACCTTTCCTCTTTTTCTTCCTATCACTTTTCTAAGCATGATTTCCTAACATTTTGGACTCATTTTGTCTGCACTTCCCCTCCTCACTACGAGGCTTTGAGTCTATCTTTGTGGCTGACCTCCATGCTAATTTAACTAAGAGAGCATAGGCTTTTTTTTGTTCACTCTTCCCTTGCATCTCTATCCTCCTTCAAGTAGCTGCTGATATTTACAGCTTGCATGCTCAAGGGTTTTTTTGTTTGTTTGTTTTTAAGTTCAAAAAATTGTTTTCAAGCTTTTAAAAAAAATGAATAAATTAAACAACCAATTTTACTAAAATCTTTATAACTAAAAATCTACTTAAGCATCTTATGGTGCTTTTCAGGTTCCTGGAGACAATATGATCAATGGCTGTTCTACTGCCATGCACTAGAAGTCTTTGATGTCTCCAGTTTTTTTTATAGTGAAACTACTATAATAATGAGACCGATGGTTGGTATCAGTGAGTCAGTAAGGGAAGATCTCATTCCTTTAAGGTATTTAGTGTACATGGAGTATATTTTAGAAATATATTCTTAGCTCCTATGAGAGTGAAGATCTGTCAGCACTCTTCCTGGAACCCCTAGTCACTGTTAAAAGGCTGAAACAAGGATGACCACAGCTAAGACTCCTAGCAACAGTAGATAACTAACAACAGTGGATACTTAGCCTAACTTGGCTATCTCTTGTGATCAGATTGCTGACTACTTCAATTGTCACCAGAGAGCATTCATCCAGTAACTGATGGAAACAGATGCAGAGATCCACAGCCAAAATATTAGGTTAAGGGGGTCAAAGACATAAGAAGAAAACACACAGGAAAAAACTAACCTGGCTCAGGAATGCACAGAGTCTGAACCAACAACCAGGGAGCCTTATATGGGACCAGCCTAGGCCCTCTACAAATATGTTACAGATGTATAGCTTTGTCTACTGCAACTCCTAATAATAGGAACAGGGACTGTCCCTAATGCTTTGTCTCTCTCTTGGGAACCTATTCCTCATACTGGATTGCCTTGCCTAGCCTTAATACAAGGGGAGGTACTTAGTCTTGTTGCAACATAATATGCCATGCTTTGTTGATACTCAGGGAGGCCTGTCCTTTTCTGAGCAGAAATGGAGGGGGAGTAGATTGGGAGAGGAGAGCAGAGGAGAAATGGTGTGAGAGGAGAGAGGGGAAACTAGTTGGGATGTAAATTTTAAAAAAGGCAGCTTTGCTAGTCATTGTGTCTTAGCTAGAATGGAAAGCCTTTGGATCAGCAGTGTTCCTGTGTGTGAATGTGAGTAGAAAGAATAGCTTAACCATGCACCCTAGATTGCACTCCTGATTTTCTGCCCCAGTGTATTTTCCCTCATAGAATTACCTGTTACCTACATCTTTATTAAACTACTTATTTGTTGGAAGAATTCCAAGAGAAGCCTTATATAGCATGTGTTTGTGATTTATCAACATGTGATATGCTAATTTTAAATTTGTGAGGAATATGTAGGAAGAAAATTAGATTATATAAAGTTACATGAAATTATACTTATTCATCGGGGCTGATCTCTCTTCAATTATCATTTCTTTTATCACCTCACAATCTAGTTATTTGGCCTATTCTCTACTCTGTGGTGTTTACTGGCAAAGGCTTCTGTGTTAGGTCTTTGTATGTGTGGAAAGAGCAACGAATAGGTCAGTCATCCAAGTTTTCATGGAGTTAGTTTTCCAGCTGGGAAACAAATAATGAACAGGAAAATAAATATTTTTTGAAAAATTACAGTACATAAGTAGCATGATAAATAATGATGTGTAATAAAGAAAATAAAACAAATTTATATAAGAATTTATTATGGTGAGGTAGTGGGGGTAGTAAGCATTCTTTAACATGATGGAGGACCCTTCATTTCCAAACCATTTGCTTACAAAAAACACCAAGGATTCAGAAATTTATAAATTTCTGAATATTATAAATTTATATTTATATATAAATATCTAACATATTTCCCAAAATAAAGCAAGTCTGTTTTTTAAATTTAATTTTCCTTTGATTATAAAATGTTCATTTCAAGTAGGATTTATTAAAATAAATTGCTAGATATCTATTTGTATGTTTTGTGGTGAAAGTTTATAGGACTATTCAAACCACAGAAACTAAGGTATTGAACCATTAAGACTGACAGTAAATATGCTTCAACTGTGAATTACTATAGTATGATAGAATTTGTTTTGTTTTTGAAATAAGGTCTCATACTCTAGACTCATACTCTAATCTGGCATAAAAACATCTCTGTAGTTATCTGATGACACTATTGTATATTTGATTGGTACTGATAATGGCCTTGAATCACCAAGAAACAGTTACTTGCTAAAGATGATAGTGCATGCTTCAGATAGGATTCCTTAGAACTTAATGTTTATGTGACCAAAGCTTCATCTGTCCTCAAACTTGTTGTAACCAGGACTCTTACTATCCCTAGTATAAAGTAGACAATTGAACAGTTGCTTAAAAAAAAAAAAAAAAAACAGAAACCTATTTCCAAATCCATTAAAAAAATTCATTTCTTAGGTAATCTAGGACTATTTATTTTAGGTTAGCTCAGTTTCATCTTAGCAAAGACCTTATAGATCAAAAGTACTAATGTCCTACTTGCAGGCATCATCACCATATTAGCTATTTAATTTAAATTAACAAAACTTAAAGTTTTTATCTCTTTCTAGGATTTTTTTTTTCCATAATCTTCTCCAGTTGTCATCAATGGGAAGCATAGAGTTACTGTTCTGGGAGCTTCCCTCCCTCTCTTCCTCTTTCCCTTCCTCCCTATCTGTCTCCCTCCTTTTCTTAACACTATTACTACAATTCATTTTGTCTTAACCAGTAAAGCACACTTCATACCAGTGCCTTTCCATCTGTCATAGTAGTGAAATCACCTGGAATGTTGCTAAAAAGATATTCCTTAGCTCCATTCCAGGACTCAGATTCTGTTTTGAGAAGGGTCAGAAGGCTGTTTTTTAACAAATAATCAGAATACTCTTGCAGGAAAATCACACTTGCAGAAATATATCTTTTTCTTGTTGACACCTATAGAAAGAAACATATTTTAGGCAAATCTTAGACAATTGCAACAGAAAAGGCTTTCCTTGAAGTTGAAGAAGATATTCATGGCTGGAAAGAAAAAGAAAGCAATTTCAAGGATGAGTTAAATGAAATAAAAGAAATTAAATAGAAAGATGGTATTTAAAAATTAAAATCGCAAGTTACTGACTTCCTTATTCTATATACAAAAACAGGCCAGAAATATTCATGTACTCCAGAGAAAAATATCAATGTGTGTTCTCTACTTAGAGATTTAACATGAAATTGGTATTTCTTTAGGTTTGGTCTCCATGGATCCAGGGCTAAAACATGGTTGTCCTAACTTATGATGCTTCTAATCAAGTGTCCCATGTTCCCTTACTGTACACAAAAAAATGAAAGTCAGAAAAACTTAAAGTATAAGAAGTTTGGAGGAGGCAATAATAATTCTTTATTGAAAATATATTTTGTAGAAAGCAAAGTTTGGGGTTGCAGTTGTTTCTATAACAGTAGTTTCAATTAACAACAAAATACTAATTTTCTTGTGTTTTTTTTTTTTTTTTTTTTTTTTTTTAATTGTAGAAGTGAAATGTAAGCTCCCAGAGATAAGTGAAATCCGGAAGGAGTTGAAAGTGAAAGAATATTACTATGAAAATAATGTAACCTTGGAATGTGAGGATGGTTATACTCTAGAAGGCAACCCTCAGAGCAAGTGCCAGTCAAATGCCAGCTGGTTTCCTCCTCTGGGCAAATGTGTACCTTGTAAGTACAAAATATAGGGATTGGAGCTCCTCCCTAGTATGCTCACTGACTGCCCAGTCGTCTGTCTATTCTGGTGCCCACTGTGATGGCTGTTACAGTATATAGTGATAAGGGAGCTGAGAATGTGCTCTCTCAAAATACAAGTTAAGATATTAGTAAAATCATTTGAAGTATGACTACAAGAATAGAAAAAGCACAATAAGCACATACACACAGAGAGACAATATACCCACACTGAAAACCCAACATATAAGCAAAAGACCAGTAAGGTTATTAAAAAAACTTGCCCCAACAAATCAATATGACACACACACCAAAAAAAATTCTAATACCATTGATTTGGCCATCTCCTGATGGGCATGGGGTCTGCCCTTCAGTGTGGTTTTTACACCCGTGAGACTCCACAAGAAGAAAATAATTTTTCATTTGCAAGCTGTTGTCAACTGGGGATGGTTTCTTGGTTAACCAGTGATAGATCATGTCCACTTGCCCTCTCAGTACTGGGACCCCATTTGTCTTAGACCTATGCAGACCCTGTACATTCTACCACAATCTCTGTGCACTCATATGTGCATCAGTCCTATTATGTCTGGAAGGCATTGTTTTCCATCTCCACTAGCTCTTAAAATCTTTCCACCTCATCTTCTGCAAAATCTGTACATTTGATCTTTAGGACAAAGAAGGAAGCTAACTTTTTATAAAAATTGTTCATGTTTTGAACCTGTTGACCAATTTGAAATGTAAATAAGAAGGTACTGAAGTACACACAAAAAGTATATACAAAAAGTACATAGAATAAAAGGTTAATAGCATTATTATAAAGTACTATAGTGGTAGTTGTAATGGAAATAATTGTAAAAGTTGATATTGAACATTTAGTACTGATGTTCAAAGACTAGTGATAGATAAGTGATAAGTGGCTAAGATAGGTGGTAGATGATAGGTAGGTATGTAGGTAGGTAAACAGATATAGATGATAGAGAAATATGCCTCATAACAACCATCAGGTCATATTCTTAGAACACCATTTAACTGCGAAATGAATGAAGGGCTTAGATAACTTGACCAAAACCACAAAAATAATGTAGCCTGGGTACAATCATCACTCCACATATCAATAGATACTGTATGCTATAACAAATAAATGAAAAAATGTTCTAAATAAATAATTATCAAGAGGAATGATTAAAGAGACAACTATTAGGTAAAGGTACCCCGCAACAACTTTGCAGGGGAAGGGTTTATTTTGGCTTACACTTCTACATTGTAGTTCATCATCAAAGGAAATCAGGACAGGATCTCAAATATGTCCAGAACTTGGAGGTAGGAACTGATATAGAGTCCATGGAGGAATGCTACTTACTGGCTCTCTCAGCCTGTTTTCTTATTGAACCCAGGATCACTACCAGCCCAGGCATGACACCATGCACAATGGGTTGGTCACTAAGAAAATGCCCTATAGGCTGGCATACAGTCTGATATTATGGAGATATTTTCTTAATTGAGATTCTCTTCTCTCACATAACTTGATAACTTGTGTCAAGTTGACATAAAACTATCTAACACAGAGGTGGAGACAAAAGGGTTCAAATATCTACCAATTGAAGATTCTTGAAGTCAGAATTGAGGGTAAACTACTCATGGATTGTGCTGTAGCATTGTGAACATTTTTCTCTGGATTGAGATCTAGACTAAAGCAGCCTCCTTTGAACTCTTATTCCTCACGATATCATCTCATCTCAAACCTTGAAATCTTACTTCTTTGAGGGGAAAAGAGGCAAATGAGAGCATAGAAGGAAAAGAAAAAAGAGTATTTGTCCCTATGACTTAGAATAAGTTGCCCAAGATACCAGCTGTTGGTCTTCCTAAGAAGGAAATTAGGGAGTAAGTTGTAGAGATGCTACAGCCTTGAAATAGCTCACTATGGGAAAATTTGAAAACAATTAAAATAAGAACAGTTACCATTGAGTGAATGTCTTGGCACTCTCAGGTCTACCACATCACCACCTCAGTGACCTGTTAGTGATATCACAGCCTCGTCTTCCTTAGGCAAGGGTTAACCTTGTTACAACCCATGCAAGCATGGTGTTGCTTTCAGAACAAGTAGTTCACCTTCAGAGAAGATATGAAAACTCAAAGAAGTCTTCATTGGAATTGTAAAGCATATTCTAAAGTCCATTCTCATTCCCCAAGATCCTTTTCATTGGAGCAACTACTGCTTTTCTAGAATCCATTTGTTTGTTTGTTTGTTTTTGTTTTGTTTTGTCCCAACTGTCACTCAAAAGCAAAAGTGCTCTGTTGTCCTCTCATTTTATGTATCTTCCTAGTTCACATTCCTAGTACCTGTGCCATTTCTCAGTAAAAGATGTTTGTCCAGTTCAGTATAACATGACCTTGGAAACAGAAGCAGGAAGTGCAGAAAATACCTTAGAATACAGGATTTGGAGAATAGGCATAAATACTATTTTTACTCTAGTATATAAATATATACAAACTTCAATTTCATTAGAATGAAAAAATAAAGCATAAGAAACCAACAAGGTAAATTTCCCTCATTTTATTAACAGTGAAAAGGGTTTTAGGCAATTGGTATTTAACACAAAAGAATGTAATAATATTGTTGTATATTGAAAGTACTATTGTGTATTTGGAAAAGCCTTTCCAAAAAAAAAAAAACAGTGATACAATGTGTAAACGGACCTGTATAAACTAATGAAGTACTGTAAAATGTAAAAATACACATTTTCTTAACAGTTTAAAAGCAAAAACTTGAAGCATCTTAAATACATATATCACGGGGAGCTAGAGAGATGGCTCAGTGGTTAAGAGCACTGACTGTTCTTTCAGAAGGCCCACATGGCAGCTAACAACTGTCTAATTCCAAGTTCTGATACCTTCATACAGGCATACAATACATATACATAAAATATCAATACAAAATAAATAAACATAAGTTACTGAACAGTGATATGTCCGTGGGATAGGTTGTGTTTGCTGCTTCTGTGTTAATTTGCACTACTAGCTCACTGTGTGAAGACTTTATTTGTGTGGGGAAAAATATTCAATGAAAATGTGCCAAAGCCTTTTTGAGTGATATTTTTCTTTTGTGTTGCTTTATACATTTTCTTCTGCAGTGATATTATTTTTATAATAAAATGATAATTAAAGAAGTTTGCAGTGAGTGAAAATGATAAAATGAAATTGTAAGAGTAGCACCAAAGACTTTTTATATTAGGAAAACAATAACTAACTCCTTGATTAAAATCAGAATGAACCATACTAGCCTAAGCAGCTATGTGGCCACATTATGTGCCAGTAACATTTCTGTGGCTTTGTTTCTCTTTCAGACTCAAACAGTAGTCTCATTACTGGTAAGTCCTGTGATGGGTTGCTTAAACAGTAAGTATCTACTTATAATAAGTGATAATGCAAATAAAAATCTCTTTTAAGTTCAATTAAAATTAATGTAAGTTTAGGGCAGCATATCTCAACCTGTGGGTCATGACCCCATTTCACAGGAGTCAGAAAACACAGATATTTACATTATGATTCATAACAGTAACAAAATTACAGTTATATGAAGTAGCAATTAAAGTAATTTTATGGTTAGGGTCACCATGTGAAGAAGTGTATTAAAGGGAAGGCTGAGAACCACTGGTTTCAGGTATAATGAGACTACATCCTCATGGACATTGAGGGACCTCATCTTTGATTCATTTTAGTGAGTAAACATTTTTTACTGTCAGCAATTCTTTATTTTAACATTGCGGGTGAGACAACTCCCTTTTTGCCCTGTACCTGGAAATATGTTTCTGGGTAATCATCCTGATAATTTGTACTGATAAAGTCATAAGACTATTGTGTGAATGAATTTTGTGTCTGGAGATAGGATATTGCCTTTACCTTCATTTCTGTTACTGTTATAAAAGCAACTTAGAGGATAAAGGAGCTTTTTTAGCTAATAATTTCAGGATTCGCCCATCATTATGGAAAGTCAGATGGCGGGAACTTGAAGCAGCTGTTCACATCCACAGTCAGGAGCCTTTCTTCATCCTTGTACAGTTCATGATCCGTTGCCTGAGAATGATGCTACCTACTACATATGTGTCTGCAAGGCTGAGGTGTCACCTTAATATATGTAATTAAGGCACCCCATAAGCCAACCAGAGCTAGATAATTCCTCACTGAGACAATCTTCTCAAGTGACTCATGTGATCATTTAACCAGCACAAATAGAGTTTGATACCAAGGGGATTTCTATCGCATAGAGTGGCCTGTCTCATGCATTCCATTAAAGATTTGGGTAAACTGTGTATGCTGAGCCAAGCAGCACGATTGCTATGAAGATCTGTGTTATTAGGAACAAGCTTATAGGATGCTCTGGTCAACCAATAACTATAGAACTGTGGTTGTAGGTCTGATGTTCTAGATTAAAACCAGGGATGAGCAGGACCTGGAGTAAAGGTACATGGAAAAGAATCATTGGTAACCAATAGTAGAATTAGCTATTAAGATAGAGTTTAAGATTTCTGTATTATGTTTTTCATTTAATTATTTTGTTTTCTTGTTCAGGCATTATCTTTGGGATAATCTTTGTTATTTTATCCATCATTGTTCTCTGTTGGCTGATTCGAAAATATAAAAAAGGGTGAGTAAAGCCACTTTCTCAGAAATCTGTCACACAGAGCTGTGGTCTGTATCTGTGCCCTAACAGTCTGCTGGCTTAGACAGGATAGCCATGAGTTTGAGGCCTGTCTGAGTCACAGAATAATACCCTGGCTCAAACAAACAAAACAAAACTAGCCTGGGAAGGTAACTTGGTGGTGAAAGACCTTGAAGGGCAAGTATGACAACCAAAGTTTGGATCCTAGCACCCATGTAAATGCCAGGTGAAGACAATGGATCTCCTGGAACAAGTTCACTAGTTTTCTAGACATATTTGCCATATAACTTTGCTTTGGGTTTTAGTGAACTTGTCTCAGTGGAATAATGTGGAAAGCAATACAGGAAGACTCCTAGCACATCAAATACGTACACCCTCACACATGCAAATGTTATATGCAAATAGAGAGGGTAGAAAAAGAGAATATAAAGGAAAAATTTGAATCTGTAAATTTTATGTTCCTTGGAATGCAAAGCAAATTTTAAAAAAGCAATAGAATATACCTCCATAAAGACAGATGTGATAATTCTCAGGAAGGTTGCCTTGGTTACACAAAATATGATGGTTACAACAAAAGAAATATATATGATAATAGTCATTATAAATTTGTTTGTGTATGTATGCATGTACACACACACACACACACACACACACACACACACACACACGCCTGCTAACAGCATAACACCTATGTAGTAGTCAGTGGATAACTTGTGGAAGTCAGGACCCAAGCTCAATCTCAGATCATCAGGCTTGGCAGCAAGCACCTTTACTCACTGAGCCATAATGCCAGCCCCAGCCCACCAGCACTTAAAAAAAAAAAAAAAAAAAAAAAAAAAAAGTAAAGTAAAAAGAAATAACCTTTTAAGAAGAAATTGAAGAAAGAGAAAACAGGCAGAAGGAGTTTCTTAAAAGTATTACATTCTTAAAGGTATGAAGCTGCTGACATCTTATTATGGCCAACATGCAGCAGATGCTGACCTGTAAACATAGACTCATTACAGCACCAGAAGCTGAATGTGGTATCCTATATATAGCACATGCATCATAGACTACCAATGTAGAAGCACTAAAACTTGGCTACTCCTGACACATGGGGTGCTTGAAATATTTACCAAGTGAATAAACTTGTCAGCCATTACTAAGAGTGTTGCAAAAGAAAGTGTGTTGCTATAACTGCCTACCAAATTAGAATGCATTGTAACTAGTCCTAACAGCTTGTGCCTATTATTCTACTGAGTCAACCATCTCAGTCTATGTAGGTAACTAGCAAAATACAAAATTGGGTAGCTCAGAAAATAAGCATTGGTTTTTCATAGTTCTGGAGGTTGGAGATCCTACTTGCTACCTAGTGAGAGTCCTAGAGAGTCATAGAAGAAAAAAGGTAGGAAAATTATGAGCTCTCACAAGAGCCCCAATCTCCACCATAGAGGTTTCAACCTTTGGAATCAAATACTTCTCAAAGTCGTACCTCATACTATCACATTGGGGTTTGGGATTCCAATGTGTCATTTTGGGAGTGGACAAACAGTCCAACATAATACTTTAATTTGGCAACATTTGTAACACCGATAATTTCACATACCACTTTAATCCCCAACTTTCCTAGATTAAGAATATCTACTTGTGTGGTTCCATTCCTGACCCCAGTAAAGTAATTTTTCCTTTATTCCAGCCTAGTTAAATCTTCCCACTCTATTATTTATTAGGTTATTAGGTTCCATGCTATACTACTCCCTTCTCCTTACCAGATCATCAGCTACTGTGAGCAGGAAATAACTATATTCACACAAAATTATTATTTTATTTATTTATTCTCTCATAAAATACACCCCAACTGCAACCTCCCCTCCCTCCACTTCTCCCAGTTTCCACCCCTTGTCTCCCCTTTCCTCCATACCCTCTGTTTCCTTTCAGAAAAGAGAAGGCTTCCTAATGATATCAACCAAACACAGCATAGCAAAATGCAACAAAGCTAGGTTCAAACCTTCATATCATGGCTGGATGAGGCAACCCAGTAGGAGGAAAAAAGTCCTGAGAGCAGGCAAAAGAGTGAAGGCTATACTCCCTCTCCCATTGTTAGATGTGCCATTGTGTGAATATACCACATTTTCTTTGTCCAGTCTTCAGTTGAGGGACATCTAGGTTGTTTCTAGTTTCTGGCTTTTATTAATAAAACTGCTATGAACATAGTCAAGCAAATGTCCTTGTGGTAAGATGGAGAATCGTTTTGGTATATGACGAAGAGTTGTGTGCCTGGGTCTTGAGGTAGGTTGATTCCCAATTTGGAGGGGGGGGGAATAGCTATGTTGATTTCCATAGTGGTTGTACAAGTTTGTACTCCCACCAGTTATGGAGGTATGTTTTCCTTGCTCCACATCCTCGCCAGCATTAGTTGTCACTCTTGTTTTTGAACATTTCTTAAGTGTTTCTTAGTCATTTGAGATTCTTCTATTGAGAATTCTGTTTAGGTCTGTACACTATTTCTTAATTGGATTGTTTAGGGTTTTGTTTTGGTTTGACTTTTTGTTGTTTGTTTTTTTGGTGGGGGACATTGATGTCTAGTTTCTTTAGTTATTTATATATTTTGGATATTAGCCCTCTATCAGGTTTGAATAAAAACTTTCACCCGTTTTGTCCTATTGACAGTGTTCTTTGCCTTACCAAAAGTTTTTCAATTTCATGAGGTCCCATTTATTAATTGTTAATCTTAGTGCCTGTGCTGTAGGTGTTCTGTTTAAGAATTTGCCTCTTGTGCCAATGTGTTTAAGGCTGTTCCTTACTTTCTTTTCTGTCAAATTCAGTGTGTCTGATTTAGTGTTGAGGTCATTGATTCACTTGGACTTGAGTTTTGTGCAGGGTACTAATATGGATCTATTTGCATTCTTCTGCCTACATACATCCAGTTAGACACTGCCTACATACATGCACCATTTGTTGAAGATGCTTTCTTTTTTTCCATTGTATATTTCTAGCTTATTTATCAAAATTCAAGTGTTCCTAGGTGTGTGGATTTATGCCTGGGTCTTTGATTAGATTGTTTTGGTTAACTTGTATGTTTTTATGCCAATATTATGCAGTTTTTATTACTATATCTCTGTAGTACAGCTTAAAATCAAGAACAGTAATACCTCCAGAAGTTCTTTTATTGTACAGGATTGTGTTTCCCCCCAGCCCCCATATAAAATTGATTATTGTTCTTTCAAGGTCTGTTAAGAATTGTATTGGAATTTTGATGGAATTGCTTTAAATCTCTGGATTGTTTTTGGTAGGATGGCCATTTGTATATTGTTAATTCTACCAATCCATGAACATAGGAGATCTTTACATCTTCTGATCTTTTCTCCAATTTCTTTCTTCATAGACTTGAAGTTTTTGTCATACAAGTCTTTTACTTTCTTGGTTACGATTACCCCAAGATATTTTATATATTGTTTGTGGCTATTGTGAAGGCTGTTGTTTCCATTATTTATTTATTTATTGTTTTTGTTTGTTGGTTGGTTGGTTTTGGGTTTTTTGTTTGTTTTTTGTTTGTTTGCTTTTCAAGACAGGGTTTCTCTGTATTGCTTTGGAGCCTGTACTAGAACTTGCTCTGTAGACCAGGCTAGGCATGCTATAAATTACCTTTTTGTTTAGGTATGTTCTATATCTCTGATCTCTCCAAGACTTTTATCATGAAGATATGTTGGGCTTTGTCAAAGGCATGATTTTTGTTTTCTTTCCAGTTTGTTTATATGATGGATTACGTTGACTAATTTTCGTATGGTGAACCTTCACTGCATCTCTGGGATGAAGACTACTTGGTCATGGTAGATGATCTTTTTGATATATAGTTTTATTCAGTTACAGATATTTTATTGAATATTTTTGCATCTATGTTCATAAGGGAAAAGGGTCTGTAATTCTCTGTTGAATCTTTGTATGGTTTGGATATCAGGCCTCAAAATGAATTTGTCAGTGTTCCTTTTGTTTCTATTTTGTGTAATAATTTGAGGAGTATTGGCATTAACTCTTCTTTGAAAGGCTGGTAGGATGTATATGCTACAACTGTCTGGGCTGGTTTTTTTGTTTGGGTTTTTTTTTTTTTTTTTTTTTTTGCTTAGGAGGCTTTTAATGACTATTTCCTTAGGGAGCTATAAATGGTTTAACTTTAACAAGTGTTGTCTATCAGAAACATCTATTTCTTTTAGATTTTCAGAATTTTTGAGTACAGGCTTTTAAATATGACTTGATGATTCTTTGGATTTTCTCTGTCTGTTGTTATGTCCCTATTTTTCTTTCTGATTTTGTTAATTTGGATAGTCTCTTTCTGCCTTTTAATTAGTTTGGATGAGGGTTTGTTCATCTTGATGATTTTCTCAAAGAACCAACTTAGTTTCATTGATTCTTTGTATTGTTCTCTTTGTTTCTATTTTATTGATTTCAGGCCTCAGTTTATTTCCTGCCCTCTATTTTTCTTGGGGATGGGTGTGCTTCTATTTCTTCTAGAGCTTTCAGGTGTGCTATTAAGTTGCTAGTATGAGATCTCCCCCGCCCCACACACACACACTTTTTTTTTTAATGTAGGCTTCTAGTGCTGTGAACTTTACTTTTAGCATCACTTTCACTGTGTCCCCTAAGTTTGATTATGTTGTGGGTTCATTTTCATTTAATTCTTAGAAGTCTTTACTTTCTGTCTTGACCCAGTAGTCATTTAGTAGAGAATTGTTCCATTTCCATGAGTTTGTAGGCTGTTATTTCTGTTGTTGAAATTAGCTTTAATCCATGATGGTCTGATAGGATTTGGGGAGTTATTTCAATTTTCTTGTATCTATTGAGGTCCTTTTGCTTGGAAAATCTTTTCCCAACTCTTTACTCTGAGGTAATGTCTATCTTTGATGCTGAAATATGTTTCTTGTATGCAGCAGAAGGTTGGCTCTATTTTCACATCCATTCTGTTGTTCTATGTCTTTTTTATTAGGGAATTGATATTGAGAGATCTCAGTGGTCAGTGATTGTTCTTGTTATTTTGGGGGGTAGGGGTGGTGTGTGTGTGTGTGTGTGTGTGTGTGTGTGTGTGTGTGTGTGTGTGTGTGTGTGTGTTTCCCTTTTGGTTTTGCTAGTGTTTGATATTTATTTCCTGTGTTTTCATGGGTGTCGTTATCCTCCTTGGGTTGGAGTTTTCCTTATAATACCTTCTGTGGGGCTAGAATTTGTGATTAGTTATTGTTTAAATTTGACTTTATTATTGAATAATTTGTTTTCTCTATCTATGGTGATTCAAAGTTCATTGTGTATAGTAGTCTGAGTTGGCATCTCTGGTCTTAGTCTTCAGGAATTCTATCCATGCCCTCTGGCTTTTAGAGTCTTCATTGAGAAGTGAGGTGTAATCCCAATAGGTCTGCATTTTTCCTTTGCAGCTTTTAATATTCTTCTTTGTTCTGTATGCTTAGTGTTTTGACTGTTATGTGGCAAGAAAATTTTCTTCTCCAATCTATTTGGTGTTCTATAAGCTTATTGTACCTTTGTAGGCATGTTCTTTCTCCTATGATTTTGCTGAAAATATTTTCTGGGCATTTGAGCTGGTATTTCTCTATTATTCTTAGGTTTGGTCCCAGATTTCCTGGATGTTTTATGTTAGGAATTTTTTAGATGTTTTCTTTGACTGATGTATCTATTTCTTCTATCGTATTTTCAATGACTGTGATTCTCTTCCATCTGTTGTATTCTGTTGCTGATGCTTATGTCTGTAGATCCTGTCCCCTTATCTAGGTTTTTTTTTTTTATTTCTAGAATTCTGTAGATTTGTGTGTTTAATGTTTCTATTTTCATTTTCAGGTATTGAACAGTTTTACTCATTTCCTTCAACTGATTTTTCTAGCTTTCTTTAATGGATTTATTCATTTTCTCCGTTTTTTTTTTTTTTTCACTTTTCGTCAATTTCTTAAAGGATATTTTTTTTCCTTTCTTCCTTAATACTGTTTAGACTTTTCCATTCAGAGCTGTTGACCTTGTTCTCTTGTTGTTTCTAACCATGCCCAAGTCTATACAAATCGATTCCTTTCGAATCAGAGAAAATATTGACAACTTCCTTGATATGGTATTTGAAGTAACAAAACTCTTAGAGCCATTATCTATAAAAGCACTTTCCGTTTGTATTAACACTAATAACCAACCAGAGGGCATTCTTTCAGCAGGTTCTACCTACTTCACCCACATGTGCCATTCATCACTTATTCACACTTTGCAACATGACTTGTCTCACTACTACATCTGTAAGACCCTCAGAATGAGGAGTCTTCCAGGTTCGGTCTATACCCCAAGAACTCAATGTCCAGTCCAGTTGCTGCAAAAAACGCAAGAGGCTTTAATGAACAGGAAACGTTTGCGCAAATGGGCTCCTCCAGCACGCAGGCTAGAGAGAAGCCCCCTCCCCTGGGCCCAAGTGTTTTTAAAGGCAAGCTTAGGGAGGGGGTGGGACCCTCTGTCCATTGAGTACGTGACCCTTGGAGGCCAGATGGTCTGCTATTAGGGTCACCAGACCTTAGGGCTTCAGGGTGTGCTAATTAATTTTGTCTGGGCAAACCAGAGTTGCAGCTATCTCTTTGTTTCCTAAGGACCCTATTTACCACCTGTTGACTCACAGGAAAGGAGGGGCAGTGTGAATTCTTATCTCAGGGCCTTGTGAGAGGAAGCTAGCAAATTCCAAGGGAACAGATATTAGTTTCCAGGTTAGTCCAACATTAACATTACTTTTTAGGTCTTTCACATCACCGCCCTTCACTCTTCTTTATCTTCAGTATCACACTGACCTTCCATGTGCTAGAGAAACTGGCCTTGATTCGTGGTCCCTCTGTGTCTTACATGCTTCTGTCAATCTAAGAGGGTAAAGAGGAGTTGAATGGTGAGGAGTAGTGGTGAGTTAACTGTGTTCTTCATTCTTAACTCTAATACCAACTCACAGATAATCCAGCATGTTCATATTTGTTATTTATGTTATATAACATACTTGCTAAGTAACCCCAGAAGACACAGCAGAATTTCTGATGACAACATGGGGCTTATAGTCAGACCTGAGTGTAGCTATGAATCCCTGGGCAAAACACTGACCATCAGGCTTCATCTTCCTTGCTTACAAGATAATAGCTCCTATCTAACTGAACACAGTACTATGCTTATTACAGTGAATGCCAGAAATTTTTAAGTTAATTAATTTTTTTCTCTAAGTTACTGCATCTAGTCATCCCTCATAATCTGAAGACTGTTGATTCTAAAATTCTCACAGATACCAAAGCTTTTGTTTATTCAAAAACCTTAAATAAAAATGGGTAGCACTGGAGGCTATAGAGATTGCTCAGCTGTTAAGAGCACTTGCTGCTCTCAAAGGTGACCAGGGTTCAGTTTCTGCATCTGGCATCCAAGGATGTCAGGTACATAGTCGGTGTACCTACATACATGCAGGCACTCACACATACACATAAAATAAAAAATTTGAAAGGCCAGGCATGGTGGCACACGCCTTTAATCCCAGCACTAGGCACATCTCTGTGAGTTTGAGACCAGCCTGGTCTACAAAGCTAGTTCCAAGACAGCTAGGGCTATTATACAGAGAAACTCTGTCTCAAAAAAAGCCAAAAAGAAAAAAAAAAAAAAGAAAAAGAAAAAAGTAGTAACCCACTAAACCCCCTATATGTCTTAATTGTCTCTAGATTACTTATAATACTATAATAAACTTACCAACATCACTAATGATCACAGATCACAATGATGCTATATCAGGTTGCAAAGCTATTAGTATGTGAAGTTGTCAAATTTCATGGGAAACCTATTTACTAACCAAAATTATTTCAGAAATAGTAAGATGTGTTGCTCAAGGTGTGGACACACATATATAGGCAAGCATAAGTCTGACATAATGGGTTTAGTATTTCCTAATCCAAGATTTTACTTAGTGAAATTATAACTTAAATCTTGAAATGAAAGTCATTAATTACTTTCAAAACTGTAACATGATTCATAGAGCTTTCCTTTTATTTTTCCCTACCAATTAGCAAAACCACAGACGGAAAGTGTAAAGGAGTGAGTATCCATTTAAATCCTCAAGAAGACAGCTGTAATCACCCTCAAGCTCTGCTCACCAGTCAGGAGAACAGCAGGTACCTATACACATCCTGAGTTCAAAATATTTGCAGCAACTAAGATTCGAAAAATAGAAACAGTTAAAACAGGATATTACACACAGAATCTGGAAACTACTTCTTGAGCTGGATCATTGCCATTTTTATGATTTTGTTTAGTAACATCAAGGTGTGTCCTGTGACCCTTTCAGGGGTGGTGAGTTTTGCTTTTCCTGGTAGCCAGGAACACCCACATACTCATGTGGATGTCTTATCTATTTCTTGATTTCTGATTTCTAATTATCACTGATTTCTATACCTCATTCGGCTTCCTGTGACCCCCCCCCACACACACACACACGCACCCTTTTTTTTGGGGGGGGCGTGGTTTCTCTGTGTAGCCCTGGCTATTCTGAAACTTAATCTGTAGACCAAGCTGGCCTTAGACTCAGAGATCTGCCTATCTCTGCCTCCCAAGTACTGGATTTAAAGGCATGCTACACCACCACCTGGCTTCACTCTTTCTCTTCTTTCTGTCCTGCACTACAGCTATTTCCATCCCTAACTCATCGTCACCTGATCCCTGCATCCTCACCACAATTCCTTATATGGCAAATACTAGCCAAAAGCTGAATGTAGCATGATGACATAACTGAATATTGTGAATCACTGAACTAAAATCCAAACAATTCCAAGGATCCAACTGCAATCTGAGCCAAATGCAGCTAGCCACTTGTGTTACATAAGCCATTCTAATTGCTCATCCTCACCTAGCCATGTTGTCAGTGGCTGCTTTCTACCCTAGTAGGAGGTGAGTGGTGAATCAGGCCCAGAAGCCACATGGCCCACCAAGCCCCAGATACTTACAAATTTATCCCATTTTTAAAGCAATTTTTATTAGTAAATAAAATCACTCTAATTTTGACAGTTCATATACCTACAGTGTTGCATTATAACCTGACATAACATTGTTGTATTCTGTGGTCACAAGTGATATTAGGAAATTCTAGTTTATATCAAAGATCCAACAGTGACAACATATGTTTTACTGGCTAGTCCTCCTAAGCCCTGAATTTCTACCCTCTTCCCTTGCCTTTTCAGTAGATGTCCTATAGATTGCTTAGAGCTATACTGCTTACTCAAGTACCTCATTCAGCCCTTGGGCCTCTCACAAATCCACAGCTCCATATCTTTTTATTATACAGGTATTCCTTTGCTCAGTGACTTCTCAGGAATCCTAACACATCATGTCCATAGTTCCTCAGGACATTCTCAAAATAGCACAATCTGCAGGTCTATAATCCTTATACGTGGAAGCAAATGGATAAGGATAAAGAGTTCAAAGTCATTTTCAGTAATATAAGGAGTTTGATTAATGCCAGCTACCTGACATCCTGTCTAAACAAACAAACTACCAACACACACATGCACACATACACTCACACCAGAAATAATAACAGCTTATGCTCTGGAAAGGAATTAGGCTATTGTCCTAATAAACATAAGCAAAAATATCACATTGTTTAATAAAATTCTTCTATGTGTATGAGTTGACACTTGGCATTTTCTCCCAATACATATCTCTAAAATTCTTAATTCAATAGTAGACAGTAGAAGAGGCCCTCGGGAAAAAAATAGGAGGCATGGGAAAGGCATTTTATAGTCAATAGGATTGTAAATGCAGGCAACTTAAATTGTTTTAAAGAAACTGCAATTAATATTTTCTTTTCCTCTGCAAAATGAATTTGCAAAGCCTTCTGATTATTATCTGGTTTCCTAGTCTCTTCTTTCCTTTTGTCTTGAAGCTTGTTTTTCCATATTATGTATAAAAGAAAATGAAACACTAATTTTTTTTTAACTCAGAATTTATGTTACCCCTAAGTTGTAATGGTAATCTAGTCTGATCCTCTTCAAATGACTATTATCATCAAGGCTAACCCACCAGAAAATAGAAAAGTTGAGGTGATAGCAGTATGCCATCCTACAATATCTTTTAATGTTGGTCCAATTTTGAAGGGAAAATCATACTACTTCTATAATAATAATAATACATATACATATATATATACATATATATATATATATATATATATATATATATATATATATATGGCAAAAAAGAATAACATAGAATGCCATGATTTTGTGGAATTCTCTGAGATCTGTACCCAAGGTTCCTAAGGGTAGAGTTATTTCCTTTACTGTTGGGATCTATAATGGGAAATTTGTGCAGAATCAATTCCAGGCTAACCATGTAATCACTCTGTAGGAAGAAAATAACAGACTGGGATCTGGGATTGTTTTTACAGGAAATTGTTTTTAAAACATTTTGCAAAAATGCTCAAAATATCATTCATTTAGATTTGCATATGCAAGATTACCTACCTGAAACTCTTTCCCATTTTTCTTTTTGCTCATATTCCAATGGCCCAGCTCGGAATTCACTCACCCAAGAAGCCTCCTAAATAGCCATATTGCAAAATGATGTGTCTCTCTGAATATTAAAACATATCCTGTCTGTATCACTTTTAAAATAAATATTTTCTTTTAAGAGCCAGATGTGTGGTTCATACATGTAATTCCAGCACTTGAGAGGCTGACGCAGGATTGCCACAAGTTCAAAGTTCCTCAGGGCATTTAACCTGTCTCAGAAATAAAAAATAAATAAAAATTAAAAAATGGTACGACTTCATTTTTTAAAATGGTAAATTTTAAAAAAACTCCTGCAATCAATCACTCTGGAGAACCCTGAGGCAAGAGGATCACCTTGAGTCTGAAAAGAAAAACCAAAAAGCATATTATAAACGGATTAAGGTCAGTCTTGACTACCATCTTCCAAAGCATAAAGATAAATTATTTTTGACAACACTTTGTAGATAAGGAGTGAAAAATCTATACTAAGCTTAAGACCTGTGTACCCAGGCCAGCTGTCGAAGCGAAGAAGTGACAAGATGGCGGCATCTGTCAAAGATATAGCTGTGTGGTGAAAGAGATAATGTTTGTAGGAGTGTTGGTAGTAGGTGATGCTGACCAGTCTTGAGAGAGAGAATGAGGAGTGAGTGTTAAGTGGCCAGTAACAAATAGAGGTATTTGTGTTTGTTCACTGGTTGAAGGACAGCATTCAGGCCAGAAAGAAAAGACTTAAGTGTTGTTGGGTACCCTGTACTGAATATGCCACCCTTGCTTGTTCTTCATGGTAGTAACAGGAAATGGTCACACTTTCTAAAGCTAACTTTCTTCTCAGAGGACAAGCCACCATTTAAACCTCTGCCACAAGCACACTTCTAAAGAGACTCAAGGAAATGCTTTGTGCATTGTGGGTGTCCTATGTATTTTCCAGAACTAGTCTTTGTTTATTAACTGACAAAAGGAAAACCATGAAATGTACTCATTTATTTCTTATTTCCACTCCATTTCCTCCTTTACACCATTCTTTCTTGAGCCTTACATAAAAAAACACAAAAGAGAGTAATAATCACTTTTGATGAATCTGCATTTATATGTAATTCCAGTATCCTTATTATCAGCATATGAATTATTGATAATTTGGTTATCCATCATGCTGTCATCTAAATGAAAATATCCTGTGATTTTTTTAATGTCCCTTGTTACAAAACAAACAAAAACAAAACAAAATCAGCAAAATTGGCAAAGTTAGAGGATGCCCAGGATTCCATGTTAGTTAAGAAGTCAATTCATTTCAACACAGTAAGATCTAAGATTCAAGCTTTTGACATTACTTCACAGAAATGCAGAAAATTTTGTTTGGGGATAATGAAGCTTCAACAGAATCCAGCAAAGTTCTGCATTTAGCCTGCCTGTTTGGAGGTTACTCCCCTGCACTCTTCCCCAACCCCCTCCTCCCTGCACTCTTACCTTAAGTTGAAATCACACACCAGAAAGTTAGAGGACAAGACTGAATGGACAGGAAATTGAATGATTTAAGAGTTCAGCTTTGTGAGTCCATCATTTTTCTTATTTTAAAATGTTCATAATATGGAATGGGTTCATTAAAGAACATTAGGAAAAATGCAAAAAATATGTGACAACAAATAATCATTCTGTGTAACAATAGCCATTACCAATACATTTTTAAAACAGGACACACTAAACCAATTGGAGAAAAGCATATGTAATACCAGTTGTCACCTTCTCTTTGGAATAGAAGTAACTTGCTTATTTAAAAATATTTTAAATGTTGATGGGGGAAGTTGCCCAAGACTACTTAAGAGAACTGTCTGAAACCCTGGGTTTCTTGTAGTGAGATATTCACTCTGCCTGCACCTGTTGCACTGACCATGCCCATTGGGGGGGGTGGGGACAGGTGTGGATGGGTCATGTCCTCAGAGGCTCTCTCTTGCTTCCTGGTCTGAGACAGGTAGCATCCGGAGGCATCCTTGGGACAGGAACCTACTGGTGGTCATCTTTCTCTGTTGTAAGTTATTTCTCCCTGAATAAACATGTATCAGCCTATCTGTTTTCCTCCCCACCCCCATCCTTATTTCCCATAATAGTTTCTTCTACTTTAAAAGTTCTTTGTACTATGCTCTGTATTTTTACAAATGAAATAGACAGTTGTCACAAAATCACTTATCGTTGAGTAAATTCAGAATACACTAACTAAAAAAAGTGCAACTTTTAAGAAGTATCTATCAGCACATGCTAAGTTGGAGCCAGGTAGGAGAGGTAGTGCTGAGATAGACTGCAAAGCAGGGCAGCTATGGGAAAATTATGACACTATAAAAAGAAAAGCTAGAAGAATTGATTTACAAACTTTTCCCTGTAAAGAAATGATAAATAATTGAGATTGATTAAACTGATTTGATTATGGTACAGAGTTGAGGACCACAGACTCAACCCAGATTGTATTAAAATTTTTATTGAAGCTGCTTGCAGGGCAGCCTCCTTAAAGCTAAAGATGTGCTGTCCAGAAGGGAAGTGTTTTTAAAGATGAAGACCATAATTATTTTGTTTCTGTGCAATTTGTAGCTGTATGGGAAACTTTCACTCCCATTGACTCTGTCTCATTCCCCTGTACACACCAATATGCATGTTACAGAAGCCAGAGCATGTGGTTAATTATGTCACAGCAGTTACACCATTCTGGAGAGGGTACACAATGCTAGGAGCTCATCTTTCAGGAATTTAGGGCAGAGGCCAACATGTACTAGGAGGGTGACTGGTATGGGATGGAGTTTCCTTAACCATCACAGTTATACAATACAATGTATATATTTTATAAACATCACATGGTACCTATTTATAAATTATTTGTTTGTTATTTTTATAAAGAACTTACCTAGTTAATAATCATATTTCACACTTTTAAAATAAATGGCCCTGACTAGAGAGACAACTTAGCAGTTAAGGCCCTTACATATAAGATGTATGCATACATGTTCATGAACACATACACATATGCATGCATACTGCACATATATATACACATGAAGAAAAATAAAAATCAAGTGGCCCCATATCTTTAGTGTGTGTGTGTGTGTGTGTGTGTGTGTGTGTGTGTGTGTGTGATATTTTGAGCTATGCTCATGATCTTAAGAAAATGTCAGACCCCTGGATATTGAACAAAAGGTTTGTACATAATTATTGCCAGTTTCTGTGTTGTACAGTATTTTGTTTGGCGCTGTACTGGCTGGTTTTATGTCAACTTGACACAAGATCAAATCACTGGAGAAGAGAGAGTCTCAATTGAGAAAATGACTCAATAAGGTTGGGCTGTAGGCAGGCTTGTAGGTTATTTTCTTAATTAACGATTAATGTGGGGGTGCAGCCCATTGTGTTTGTGGCCACCTCTGGAAAAGTGGTCCTCAGTAATATAAGAAAACAGGTTGAGCAAACCATACGGAGCAAATTAGTAATCAGTGTTTCTCTGGCTTCTGTATCAGCTGCTGCCTCCAAGATACTGCCCTGCTTGAGTTCCTGTCCTGACTTCTTTTGATGATGAACTGTGATGTGAAAGCATAAGCCAAATAAATCTCCCCTCTCCAACTTGCTTTTTGGTCATGGTATTTTGTCTAAGACAGACACCATAAAGATGAGCTAGACATGAAAGACAGGGGAAGGAAGAGGCCTATGCAAAGGTCACTGACTCCTCCCCCCCTACACACACCACCACCACCACATCACCACTACCACCATCACAAAAAAAAATGCAACTTGTAGTGTAGCAAAAAGGATATTATATACTAGAAAACACTTGAAAAGTTTGTAATATAATGTATTTACCTTTTAAGTGCTGCTACATAAGCATGAGGACTTGAATTCAGAATCCACATAAAAAGCCCAAAAGTGCCCATAAGGCCAGGAGCTGGAGAGACAGGCAGGAAGAGTCCTAGGGTTTGCTGGCTCAATAAGTTTTAGATTCAGTGACTGCCTCAAAAAAAATTAGTTGGAGAATGTGATGATTTGAATAAAAATGGTCCTGTAGATCAGTAGTAGCGAATGGTGTTATTAGGAGGAGTGGCATTAGTCATTAGGGGATGGGCTTTGAGGTCTCAGAAGCTCAAGCCAGGCCAAATGGTTCACAGTCTCTTCCTGCTGCCTGTGGATCCAAACATAAAGCTCTCAGCTACGTCTCCAGCACCATATTTGCCTGCATGCCACCATGTTGCACTATGACAATAATAAACTAAACCTCTGAACTGAAAGCCAGCCCCAGTTAAATGTTAGTATGGGTGAATGCATCTGTGCTTGTAGGAATGCATACATGCCGGAATGTACATGTGGTTGTGGAGGTCAGGGGTCAACATCTGGTGTCTTCCTCATTCGTCTTAGCCAGGGTTTTATTGCTATGAACAGGGAGGCCAGTCTGAAGCAGCCTGGTTAAAATGAGCTCTGGGAGTGTGATGACTCACAGCTATGCCCCAGGTCTCTGTTTTTAGGACCAGGTGCTTTATTCTTCAAGCTCGAGTTTTGAGCAATGACCACAGGGCCAACTATCTTTCCCCCTTCCTAAATAGAGTGACCTCCCTATTTAAGTGAGCCAGTATTAGCTCCAGCTGGTAAGCACACCCTAGAGCTCCTGGGGGAGGAATACAGAGCAAGTCAGTTAGGAGACAGCCCATAGAGAAGTTCAACCCAGAGGATGAGCTTGACATTCTGTGGAAGAGTGCCACCCAAGCAGAGGAGTGCAGCAAAATCAAAGAGGATTTGGCAGGAGTGCTGCTTGGTGTGTGTGGAGTTAAGGTGTTTGAGAAGGAACACAGCAGTCAAAGGCTAACAGTTGACAGGCCTGATATTTCTGGGCAGAAGCAGCAACACTATTGTTCCAGCCCCTCGAGCTGAGGCCCCGCCTTGTTGCTAGCCGATTGGCCTAGCCAGCACCACCTCGAGCGGTCTGGCCACGCCCACCTGTTGTGTCGCCCAGCACACTTTAATTTTAGGATTGTTGCGTCTGTTCACTTAGCTCAAAAGCTGCTCTCCGGTGGCCTGGCGCTCAGTTTTCCCTCCATTCTGGTAACATGACGGCGGCGCCTCTCGAGTCGGACGCAAAGCCTCCCCGCCGCATGAGGAAGACCTACGCTTTCTGGTGGTGTTTACTGGGCATCTGTGCAGAGGCCCTTCTGTTCCTGCTGTCTACTTTATCAGGTAGAATCCAGGAGAGAGACTATGTCTTGGAGATGCTGGTACCTGGCCTGCAGTCCAGGTGGATAGCGAGGAACTCACTCACCTGAAGTTGGGATGGCCACGGTTGTGGTGGAGGATCTGGTAGAGTTCTCCTAGGGTTATGCAAACGTGCGATGTGGAGACCATGCAGTCCCTATTTTCAAAGTGCAGGCTTGCTTAGTGGGCAGTGCTTAGTGGGCAGCGCTTAAGAGGTGGGCAGCCTGAATAGAGAGAGAAGTAGATGTCCAGCCAGAGCCTGGCTGTGGCAGTAGCAGTTTGCACTGTTTTTGAAATACAGGGTAGGTCTGGTCTTTGACCCTGGGGAAGTCAGGTTGCATTAATTGTGCTATGGGTAAGCAACTCGCTAGGTTTAGAGGGGAGGGAAAGTCACACCTGCCTTGTTTTATTTTGAGTCGAGTTTCCTTGTTGCCTGTGGCAGGATAGGCTTGGCTTACAAGTGGTTGTTTTGTTTGGCTTTACATGTTTTATTAGATTTTTTTTCACACAGAACATGTTTGATCATATTCCTCACACTCTCCTCCTGACTTGGAGTTATCCTAGCCAATATAGACAGTGTCTGATGGTATTACCAAATTACTTTAAGACATTGTTTATCTTCCTATAAAGACAGTCATACTAGAAAAAAAAAATCTAAGCATCACTCTTAAGACAATAAGTATAAGTAACACTCTGGTTTTCACCTCAGCTCATGAACTCAAGGTTTCTCCCATCACATTTTGGTGGTGTTTTAGTACATGGAATAAATACTACACATGCTTATTGTATAAAATTAACACAAAGAGCAATGTTTCTGTTTCCTCCAGTTTTTCAACCCTCTGTGTCTATGTTTCTGCTACATACTGTTGTGAAATATTATGTTAACTATGTGAAGACATGATATATTTGTTTATGCTGTGGAATATTATTTTAAGTGTACAAAGGTGTGTTACATTTGTTTATGCTGCATTTGTTTCACTTTGTCTCCTAAGGCACCTGATTGGTCTAATAAAGAGCCAAATGGCCAATAGCTAGGCAGAGAAAGGATTGGTGGGGCTGGCAGGGAGAGAGAATAAATAGGAGAACCAGAAGAGAAAATTAGCAAAGGAGAGACATGTCCAGGGCAAGAAGCCAGGCAGCCAACAGCCAGCAGGCATAAGCAGTGAAAATAAGATATATCTTTTTTCACACTTGATACTCCAAATGTCTCATTTCTTTTTTTTTTTTTTTTTTTTTTTTTTTTGGCCTTAGTGTTGGTACTCTTATATAACTCAAGTACCAGAATGTTAAATATCATATTTGGCTAATGTATAGAGCACAGAGAATATTCTTCCTGCCTGCAGGAGGAAACTTCTTTAAAGAGCTCTACTTTCATTGATCTCTATACAAATTCACTTCACATGGAATAGAAGGGGCAGGTACTAACAGTAATAAGAAACCAATGGGTTTTTAAAGAAGAATAATGTTTGGAACAGACTTCAAGCTAAATGTTTAAGAAGACTCTGAAACTATTGGAAATAGATGAAAACAGATAAAATAAATAGGGTATAACATATATGGAGGAAAATGAAGAGGAGAAACAAGATAAAATATGAAAACTAAAAGATAGATATGAAACCTGAAAAACTCATTGTGCTAGGCAGGGAGAGTTGAAGGACAGAATAGGGTCTCATTTTTGGAACTCAACTTGTAAGGAAAGGGGTTTATAAATGCCCAGCATAGAAAGCCTGTCATCAGGATTGCAGAAGAGAATCTGTTAGATTTTGAGGTTCTTCTGTTGTTCTTTTGATTTAATTTCCACCTATGAAACACAAACACAAGACTCAGCACCCACAAGGAGTTTATTGGTAGAGGGGAGAGAAAGGGAGAGAGAGAGAGAGAGAGAGAGAGAGAGAGAGAGAGAGAGAGAGAGAGAGAGAGAGAGAGAGGGAAGCAAGAGAGAAAGAGGGAGAAAAAGAGAGAAGGGGAAGAGAGCAAGGGAGAGAGAGAGAAAAAAGAGAGAGGCATGCTTGGCACGCTTGCTTAAAAAGGGACACTTGCACATGTGTAACTGAGTTCCCTGCACAGCCTGGTAAAATGTGAACAACCAGGTAAGTCGTGATGTAGAGAAGACATGGCCATGAGCATCCTGCCCATCATCAGTGGGCGGGGTCAGCAGACCGCTGGGTTTCCATCTCCTTTCTTCAGAAGAGTGGATGATTCTTTGAACAAAGCTGTCGCCTCCTGCTGTTGTGTCTGCTCTTGTCTTTCTAAGACCAGTAAATGTGTATACTCTAGTATCTCAGTCCTTACTCTGTGTGCTACAATGTAAGGGAATAGCCAGCTGCTGAGTTATAAAATACTAGCAGACAGACCAAGAAAAAAAAGAAAAAAGAAAAAAAGAGAAAAAAATGGCTTTCCTTTCTCCAATCAATAAATCTTTAAAATGACTATTTCATTATTAAAATCATGACAATATAATCTTTGAATGTGTTTTCTTGTACTTTTATACCACTGTGAGGAGCTGATGCTGGTTATTGTAGCCACATTGATGATTAGATTTCATCTTAGCTATTGAACACAGCCATCATGTGATCTAACTAAGATACCCTGATAGGGGGCAGCCCAAAGGAAGGGAACAGAGTACTTTCATAGTTGAGGCACAAGATGTTCCTTCCAGGTGTCTAGAAAGAGGAGAGAGCTCAGTCTACCTAGCTAGGAAATGGGCTATGCATCAGTGCAAGCAAAGACACCCCAGGGTGAGACACAGCTGACCAGCAACTACTTAGTTTGATACAAAATAGACAAGAGGAATGTAGAGTGCTAAAGAATCATGAAAAGCAAGGGGCTAATTTGGAACAATTCAGGCTGTGATGTTTTTACCCCATGTGTGGAACATCTTTAATTCCTTAGTACAACTTGAGTCTAAACTAGATCTGCTGTGATGCTGTAATGTCCCCAAGCAATATAAAAGGCTTTTTTTTTTTTTTTTTTTTTTTTTTTTTGAGGACTAAACACAAGATAGGATAGAATCTGCCTTGGGAAGTTCTAGAGCATTGGCAGTGGTACTCAGTGTGGCCTGCCCATAATGAGGATGATGATAAGTTAAAGGACACCATATGTTTAGCACAGAGTGCTAAGTGTTTGCTATTTGTAATTTTTTAAAAATCCTCATCATTATTGTTATAAGCTCTGATTACTGTACTTCCAGGAAATACAACTCACAGTATTTGTAATTCACTTTCTAATTATAGCAGTAATGCAGACTGAGTCCACAATAAACCAGTAAAGTATACATATTTTGACATGAAATAAATATTAACACAGGAAAATGTTTAAACTAATACAATTTTGTTTTTAAGACTGGCTGGGAAACAGCAAAGAAAACACGACTTTCAGATATCATCAAAGCAAATTCTCTGAATAGTAAAGAATTTGAATTTTGATTTAAAGAGGTAAAGAATCAATCACAGCACTCATTCAACTTTGGTAGTGAATGAGACATAGTCCTTAAGAACAAGATGGTCTCATAGCTCCCTTTTTTAAAAAACCAAGACTATTTTTCCTATCTCCTTGTTTTACTTTTAAATAAAAGTTCAATTCACTATGAAATAACCCAAAAGCCGATCTTATTTTAAAAACAGTCAGGGATATTCTTGCATTATTGCCACTGCTTGAGTAAGGAAAGGCATGTACTAATAGTTTAGAGTCTTGCTAAAAACATTTCTTTTTCCTGTCCTTCTTGCTACAAAATAACATTCTTAGTTGATAAAAGTGGCATTCACACTTCATCTTCATGTTTTTGCCCTCTTATTCCTAGATGCCTGTGAACTACCTCCACCATTTCAAGCTATGGAACTCAAGGGTGTACCTAAACCCTATTATGAGGTTGGAGAGACAATACAATATCAATGTAAAAAAGGATACCTATATTTGCTTCCATTCTCCATGGTTGCTACCTGTGAACCAAATCATACATGGGTCCCTATTTCAGATGATGGTTGTGTTAGTAAGTAAACTCAACTTTTTTTTTTCTTCTTGATTTTCCAACATTTTAGGGAGGGTACATCTACCCCTATAACAGTGATTCTTTTCCTATGTGAAACAAAGCTTTGATTTAAGTATGAGGTGTTTTTGTTGTTGTTGGGTTTTTTTTTCAGGCTTTGAGAAATTTATAGGGAATTTTTTTCTTGGAAATTTAGTTGATTTTAATTATTAATCCTGTCCTTTTTATCAGATACTTGTCTGATATTGTGATAAAACACTATGACCAGGACAACTTATAAAAGAAAAGGTTTAATAGGGCTTCTGGTCTCAGGGGGTTAGTATTGTATAGGAAATTAGATTCTGGGACACAATGTAGGCTGATTGATGGTTATTTCGGGAGAAATCATACCAGAAACAGGTAATTGCCACAGGTTCCTGCTCCAAGGATACCCCTGGATACTCTCTGTTTCCAACTGGGAAGTAAGAGAGTGAGCTTGGGTCCAGGACCCCAGATCCAGCCCCCACATGTCACATCGGCACCTGTCCTCAGACCCCTAATGGGCGTGGTCAATACAACAGATGCAGATGGGATAGATATCTCACTACAGGTTAGAGTCCATGATGGTGGATCAAAGGTGTGGTGGCAGGAACAAGTGAGAGCTCACATCTCAGAATGGCAAATAGGATCAGAGAACATACTGGGAATGACACAAGTCTTTTGAAATCTCAAAGCACACCCCCACCCCAGTGACATCCTTTCTCCAGCAAGGCTACACTACCTAATCAGCCACTAACTGAGTACCCAACCTTCAAATGCCCTTATAGAGGACATCTTATTCAAATCACTATACCCTTATAATGTAATCATTAAAAATGAATCCACAAACTCAAAAGAACCATGAATTTTTTACTTTGATTCAAGTACAACTGGCTTTGGAGTTGAATTAAATTTTTTATTGTTATTTTCTTCTAGAAGTAGAATGCATTAAATTACAGGACCCTTCATTTGGCCATGTACACTACATAGATGGCAGAGTTTCATGGGGTAGTCGAGCTCAATTTTCTTGTGTGGAGGGGTAAGTTGCTCCTTATGGGAAATAAGGTAAATCACATTGTTCTACTTCTCTTTTTAAGTATTCAAGTAAATTTGCTTTAATTTTGCTTATTATATGACAAGTTGTATTCCTAGCCAAACAACACTTGGGTATTATATGGAGATAGGAGAGATGCTTAATTGATAAAGAAACTGAAGGAAAACAAATCCGTAACACTCTTGTTGTTTATAATAATAAGTCTATGATAAACATTAAGAATGGAGTGATATGTCAAGGGTGGTGTATCCTTGTAATTTTAGCACTCAGGAGGATGAAGGCAGTGTGGGGGAGGAGTATGGCTACATAGTTAGTTCCAGGGCAGTATGGGCTTTATATCTAAAGGAGATAGGTAATCACGGTGACGTTGCCATTCATGGTCAAGTTACCTACTGCCAACTGAAGGTTAAAGTGGGGTTCTTATGAATTTGAGGTAGAACTAACTGCTAACCAAAGGAGAATTCTGGAAGGCATTAACAAATCAGAATGTAGCCTAACTCATCTTTACCACCATGTGATGTGATATTTCAGTTGTAAAACATTATTTTTCAGACTTTTACATAGCCTGAAGTGTCTCCAAAGGAGGCATTAGCCACTAAGCCTTTATTCTCTAGAGCTCTCTTAGAAGTAATTGTGACTCTTGGGGAAAATTGGCTGTGATGGTTTTAGAGAGTTTCATTGATAATTTTGTTTTTGTCTTTTGAGACAAGGTTTCTGTTTAACAGCCCTGGCTGTCCTGGAACTTGCTTTGTAGCCCAGGCTGCCCTTGAACTCACAGAGATCTGCCTGCTGGAATTAAGGTGTGCACCACCATGCCTGGCAATATTTTTTTTTAACTATCAAGTAAAAGTACATTCAGGTAAAGCTATGTGAAGGAAATTTTCTAGGTACTTTTAGAGGACCAAAAGTTTAGGCCATAAATCTTTCTCAAAGACTAATTTTGTTGAGAAACCCAGTAGATACAGAAGCTATTGGCAAAATAACAAAGAATACCAGATAAGAATATTTTGTGGTGATGACATGAGTATCCAGAATAATAATCTGTGGATTTAAATAATGGGGAGACTTGATAGCATTAAACATGAGCTATTCCTAGAAAGACATTATAACCATATATTAGAAAGAGATAACATATTCTTTCTACTTGTTGTGTGCCAGACTAATTCTCTTGAACAATCCTATGGGGAGTAGTGTGGAGAGAAGGGAGAGGAGAGGAATGATCTCACTATGTAATCTTGCCTGGCCTGGAGCTTCCTGTGTAGACCAAACTGGCCTTTAACTCACAGAAATACGCATGCCTCTACCTCCTGGGTTCTGAGATTAAAGTTGTGCGAGGAACAAGAGAATTTTTAAATTGTTTGTCCAAGCTTGAGTAGGCTGTCAGTCATGAAAATAAGACTAGATAGAGCTCAGGCAATCCTTTTCTAGGGAACCATTTCTCCTATGCTTCATTCTCTCAGAGCAGAATGAGTGAGTAAGGACATAGAAGCAGAATAATATGATTGTAGGAGATATCAAACATGACAGGCCACATCAGATGTCTCTAGACATCACAGCTCTTGTACTGTATGTTCACGGACAGAAAATATTCATCTAATTAAATTTTAGTTAGATTTGTTTAGTACTTTCATGATATTTAAGAAGCCTATCCTTCAAACTACTATAGTACAGGAAAAATTATCTAAAACCGTCCTTCAATATTGTGTGTGTCTTACCAGCTGCCAAAGAAAACGGTAACTTTTTCTTTGCTTATTTAGTTATTATTTAGTTGGTATGTCAGTTCTACACTGTGTGCTTAAAGGCAATGATGCATACTGGAACGGTCCTTCCCCACGCTGTGAAAGTAAGTAAATTCTCTGTTTCAAATCTAGACTATCAGCTCTCAATCCTTTTGGCCTGGGCCATATTATGATTTTAGATTAATAAATATCCCCAAAAGCTTTTCTTCATGGTTATGTCTATTGATATTAATCATGTTGGGTTTAGAATGGACGTATTTTTAAGTAATTATTTTTAAGGACAATAAACTATATATTAATATATCTCACGTTTTTATTTGAAAATTTAAAAGAATAGGGACACTGCTTTATGTTTTTGCAAATCTTTTCAACAGGGAGTTAGTCTGTTCAGTTACTAAACTTTGTCGTTTCTGCAAAAACATTGATTATGAAGATGAAAATAATACATGATAGTATTTTAATATGATTCTAAGCCTCCATTCTATTGAATGAATGTATCTGTACCTTAAAACATTTTTTCAGTCAGTATTCAGCTTGATTTTTTTCATCACAAGCGTTTTTCACCAGACGATCAGCATCTTTTCATCTTTTCTATTGACTAGGACAAAACTTAGCATCACCTCACAAATAAAGTCATTATTCCCCTTAAAAAAAGAAATGATTGTTGTCCTGAAAGGTCATTTCTGTGTTAGTGGTTTAAATGTGAGTGATGGATTTTCCCATAGAAACCCTCTTCTAGATAAAAATTGGGGTCATAAATAATTTATAGAAATCCTATATTGATGAATTTGTTAACAATAATTCATAGATCTTCCTAACACTGCCTTGAATAGATATACTATCTTGCTTTTAACTTTTAATTTCCTTTTTTCCTTTTTATAAAGAGATCTATTGTTTACCACCTCCAAAAATAAAAAATGGAACCCATACCTTTCCTGATATAGATGTATTCAAATACCATGACGCAGTAATTTACACTTGTGATCATAACCCAGGACCAGATAAGTTTTCCCTTGTTGGAACTAGCATGCTGTTCTGTTCTGGCCATAACACATGGAGTAGCAAGCCCCCGGAGTGTAAAGGTAATCATCTTTCCTTCATTTGTAAATAGTTTTACCTAAAAGTAAACACAGTGAGCATATGTCCTTCATCCTCTTATAAAACTCTTTTCTAATTTAATTTCATAGCTGTTAAGTTAAATCATGAAATAATTCTAGTTATTGAGTTCCCTTCTCATTTCCTAGAACATGAGCCTACAGCCATGAGGTAGGATAATACTGACCAAAAATGATCAAATGGATTCAAACAAAAACCTCTAATCTAGGAAACTCAGTGAAAACACACACACACACACACACACACACACACACACACACACACACACACTGGGAGAACAAACAATTTCATAGGTTTTACTAGTTTGATACACCTACTGAAAACAATTAAAAGTAGTCAAAGAACCATAAAAGCAATTAACATTCAGGAGAGGTGACAGTTGGCTTCTCTTCATTGAGGCTGGGAAACAATGGTATCTATTAGGTACTAAAAGAAATAATTAACCTATAAGATTTTTTTTAATCCAGAAAAAAAACCCTTCATGACAGAAGGTATAAAAAATAAGTGAACTATTTCCATATAAACCAAAGCTGAGAACTTTACTAGCCGACCTACAAGAATTGCTAAAGAGAAGCTGCAGTGATGATTCAGTGGTTAAGAGCGAAGAGCATGGACGGTTCTTCCAAAGGACCCAAGTTCAATTCCCAGCAGTTCACAACTGTCTGTAACTCCAGTTCCAGGGTATCTGGCATCCTCATGCAGGGAAAACCCCAATGTATATTAAAAAAATAAATAAATCCTGAAAAAGAAAAACAATTGCTATAGGAGCCCTGGGCTCCCCTACAGGGAAAAGGAGAGCAGTGCACCTAACAAGCTGATGTGATCAGTCTCAGTTGGTGCTCAGATTTCACCTCACAGTATAGGGTGCCATAACCATAGTGCCTAGCCTAGCCATTTTTGTCCCTGTCCCACAATTCTCCTAGAAGACTATGAATCACTCTAATAGATTGCAAGTCATTGGACTTAATGAATGGGGAAAAAATGGGAAATACTATGTGTACTAGCATAGGTTGAGTATTAATGTGAACTTTTGAGGGATCTGTGTGCTCATATTTGGAACACAAAATATGTTTCTGTAACTCTGGGTTGTAGTTTTAAAGTTTCAGAAAATTGGTATGAAAAATAAACCAGAATTTTATTAAATTCTGGGTGATTTTCCTCTTTTCAGTGGTAAAATGTCCATTTCCATTACTACAAAATGGAAGACAGATAGCAGGATTTGAAAAAAGAATTTCCTATCAAGCAACAGTGACGTTTGAGTGCGAAGAGGGTTTTTACATGAAGGGCAGTGACACAGTGGTCTGCAGTGCTAATAGCACTTGGGAGCCTTCAATCCCAGTATGTCTTAAAGGTATAAAAGATGTATTATTTTCCTTACTTATTCTTCTGGTAGTTTTTCTTTGCTTGCTTGTTTTAAAATTTATTTATTTGATGTTAAATATGATGATACTCCAAAAGCAGTAATTTTGATACATAGCTCAAGCTTATTCTTATACCATACATATAACAAAATTCTGCTGTTTTGATTTTTGGTGTTTTTCTGGGGATTTTAGCTTGTGTGTTTTATGTATTTAGCTTTGCTACTTCATCCTTTCCCCCTTCCCCAAATGATTTGCTTACACTTTTGCCTCCTTATCATGTTAGATTCAGGTAATGTTTCATTTCCTGAACTGTGGTCAGTTTAGGGGTGAAAGTCTTGTTAATTATTTTGTTTAGGGTCTAAGCTGGCCTTAGAGTCATAATTGTCATAATATTCCTGCTTCAGCCTCTTCAGTGCTGGAATTGCAGGTATGCACCATGCCTAGCTTTTCAGTTCATTTGTTTTGGGGTGTGCGTGCGTGCGTGCGTGCGTGCGTGCGTGTGTGTGTGTGTGTGTGTGTGTGTGTGTGTGTGTGTGTGTAAATAGAAATTTGTGCTGCCTCCAGAATGAGCCCTGTATTTTTCATTTCCTCTCCACTCCTCTTACCTACTTGAATGTTTTGTTTGTTTGTTATTTTTGTTTTTACCAGGCAGCATTGACAACAGAAACTAGATTTCTTAATAACTGAAAGCTAGAAAGCCAGTGCTGTTGAAATGAAATAGAAGGTTTTTGGAGACTCCCAATGGACTGCTGTTAAGCATGGAAGTTGCTATGATGGGAGAAACCATCATTCCCACATCAGGGCTCCTTGCTGTGGTTCCTCCACTTGATGCACTGGAACCCACAGGGTGGTGCACAGGACCCTAGCTTGACTCTGCCTAACCAAACTGACTTGATTTTATGAACGTTGGATTCCTGTTACTTTAGCAAGTGTATTGAACTCAAGTAAATCTCAGTTATTGGTTCTAACTTGTTTAAAATATTTTCTGTCTCACTAATATTTTAAACAATGGAGAGATTTTGAGAATTGTACATGATTATTTGCTCAGCCAGTGATTAGAATGCCTTTTTTTCTTTCTCTTTCTTTTCTTTCTTGAGACAAGATTTTCAGTATGTACTAGAACAAGCTGTGTAGACAAGGTTGGCCTGGAACTCACAGATTTTCCTGCCTCCCAATTACCAACATGCCCAACTTCTGGAATACATTTTGATAATTTCTACAAGAACCTGAATTGGGTTTCTGTTGAAAGGAATTTTTGAAAGAGTTGACAGTAAGCACTTGACAAAATATTTATAAAACACTAGTTTTCTATATGAAAGACATGTGAGAAAAGGCTCATAAGAAGTGGAACTAAGAGGAATCCTTCTGTTAAAAAAAATATCTTGGTAGCATCGTCAGTCACTTTTTATTGTCCATTAGGGAAGTACGTGCATGGAAAGTGGCACAGCAGCAGCCTGTACTAGTGTGGTAGGTTTGATGGTATGTGAAAAGTGGAGGGATTCTGATGCCCATTGTATGGTATCTGACTTTTTAGGATGCATATGTTTACCTTGAACACATTCTTTTTATGATTTATTTTTAGTTACATTTTAGGATTTGTATTTGTAAAATATAAAGCTGTAATGAACATTCTTGTACACAGGTCTCTGCTATTATATATGTAGATTGAACATATTCATAGACTGAATCCCTAGTAGAACTATAAAGTACATTTTTTACTTTGATAGGTAATCTTTTAAAATGTTAAATATTAAAATTAAATCCATAAGTTTACATAAATAAGTTTAATGAATTAATAGACTCAATTTATTTTTCTAGGTCCTAAGCCTACTCATCCCACCAAACCTCCAGTTTACAATTACCCAGGTTTGATAATTCTTTATCCTACTGATGTTGTTAAAAGTTCCATAAGAGACAGGTGAAAGATGGTGCCTTGTTTTGTCATTTCTTTGATTACATTTTTAAAGCATCTTTTGAGCTGGTGTTGTCGCTATGATGCTCAGGCTTTCTTCAAATCCTCATCTCAAGTGATCTTTGCCTTTAGATTCTTGCCACTAGGTTCAATGGTCATTTATTTATATCCTCTTCCCATTTTTTCTAAAATAGTTTCTTGATTTATATACTGCTGCATATAGATTTATTTTATAGACTTAAATTATATAAATAGTATTGTCAAATTTAATTGCTACTAATATTTTTAGGGTTTTTTTATTTACTTTTGTAACATTCTCTTATTTTTCCTTTCCTTTTTTCCCATTATTTTATGGTGTGTGTGTGTGTGTGTGTGTGTGTGTGTGTGTGTGTGTGTGTGTGTTTGCATGTATGTGGATGTGATGTTATGTTGGAAATCTGAGGTTAATGTTGGAAATTATTCTCAATTCCTCTTCTACCTTACTCCCTGTGGCAGGATGTCTCCATCAAATACAGAGCTCACAGCTAGTCTCTCTAGTCTCTAAAAATCCTATCTCCATTATTTCCACCAATGCCTATGAGCTTTAGATGAGAATGGGGATAGACAGATAATTTAGTAGCCAAGAGCAAGTCCTGCTCTTGTTCAGTACCCCTATCTGATTCTCAGCATCCAAGTAGAGTAGCTCACAACCAACTATAACTACAACTTCAGAAGATCTGACACTTTTCCTGCCTCTTCAAGTGCTTGCAAACACATGGTGCGCGCGCGCACACACACACACACACACACACACACACACATACAGACCAATTAAAAAAATAAATCTTTAAATAAAAGAAGCTTTTGGTGTTACCCTGGTGGGAATTACATAATTTAATTCATATATCTGAGTTCTTTGTACTAAATTGTTGGTACATTTTAAACACATGATGGTATTTGTGGGGAGGGGTAACAGGTTCCTTCCTCCCTCATCTCCACTCAGGCACTAAAAAGGACTGATGGATAAGTGGAACTATAAGCAGAGCTTTGTCATTTGGGAAGAAAATAGCTTGCCCACATTCTCCTTTGAACTCTACCCATTCCTGCACCAGAGTTGTCTTTTTTGAAACTACAGTACTTTTTTTAATGTTTGACATTTTTTAAAATTTCTAGACCACTCTTATGTTAATCTTATACCTTAACCAGACAATTCTTTGGCATTACACACACAGACATTCTTGTGCAACCAATTTTCTTTCATCATCCCTAAATGGAACTTCCACTGTTAAATGATGACTTCCCTTTCCTCCCTCTCCCAGAACCTGCTGAACACTGTTCACCTTGTTTTCCCTTATAACTGCCCGTTCTAAATACTTCCTATACCTAGGTCATACAGAATTTGTCCTTTTGTGCCTTGCATACTTCATATAACTAAATCCTTTTAAAGGTAAATCTTTTAAAAATCCATGTAACTTTCATCTTGTGCTAGGATTTTTTTTATGGTGAATAATCCTCCATTATTCATATTTCCACATTTTGTCTATTTGTTCATTTTGGTAAACTACGGTTGCTTGTGTACACCTTCTAGCTATTCTGTACAAAGTTTCCACTTTTAATTCCTCTGGTGCACATCTAGGAGTAGAACTTCTAAGTCATAAGGGGATTTTTTTTTGAGGAACTGTGCTGTCTTCCACAACAGCTACATGATTTTATAGTCTTCATGAGAAGCGAACAAAGGCACCAAATTTCTTAACATCTTCACTCTCAGTTGTATTGGCCTATTGTTTGACTTTGTTTTGCTTCTGTAACAACATCCATCTGTTTGTTTTATAATGCTGAAACAGAATAGCACATATGATATAATTTATCTCTCATGGTTCTGGACTCAGGGAAATATGTAATGTCAAAGTGCTGCTGTTTGGAAAATGCCTTCTTGCTACATCATAACATGTCAGAAGAGAATAGAGAGGTAGGAAAAAAGTATATGTAACATGGGCAGACTTACTCCTACAATAAAAACCCAGTTCCTAGATAATGGCATGACACATTTGTGCCCTCATCACCTCAATACCCTTATGTTAGCAAGAATTTCTACATGAATTTTGGAGAAAGTAAGCATTCAAGCCATAGTACTAAGTTAGTAGGTATGATTATATATGATTGATTTTATTTCCATTTCCCCAATATTAGTGAAGGGTTGAGCATCTTTTCATGAGCATGTTGGTCATCTGTATATCTTATTTAGAGAAATATTTATTCAAGTCCTTGGACTTTTCAAATTGGGTATGTTGCTACTGAGTTTTATGAGTAATTTGGATATTTTATCAAAAATGAAATTTACAAATGTTTCTTCTCATTCTGTGCATTGCGTTTTCACTCTGCTAGTGTCTTTTAGTGCACAAAAAATTTCATTTTGATAAATTCAGTTAGGTTTTTTTTTCTTTTTTGGTTTTTCGAAACAATCTACTTCACTGTTATTGTGGTCTATACTTTGTGTCACATTCAAGAAATCCCTGTCAGATCTAAAGTCATGAAATGTTTCCCATGTTTTCTTCTATAAGTTTTATAGTTTTAGACATTATCTTCAATAATTTGATCCATCCAAGTTATTATTTTTTACATGTTTTAAGGCTCTAACATCAGTCTTTTGGCTGAAAATATCAAATTTTCCAACACTAATTGGTGAAGAGACTACCCTTTCCTGACTGTTCCTGTTTATCATTGTTTTTTTAAAAAAAACCTTAAAATGTGTATGTGCATTTGTTTCTGAGTCCTATTCCATTCCATAGGTCTGTATGCCTATCTTTTTTAAATCAATAATACTGTTTTAGTTAATATATCCTAGAACATTTTGAAATCAAGAAGTATGAGTTCTCTCAAATTTATGTTCTTCAGATTTCATACTGAATGGATGGTCCTATACTATACTATACTATGGACCATAGGATAGATTTTTTTTTACTTCTGCAGAAAGAAAGAATCGTGATTTTAATAGGGGTTACATTAAGTCTGTAATGTATTTTGAGTATTATAAACAACTTAATCTTTTGTCTAATAAACACAGGATGCCTGTATTGGGATTTGTTGTTATGATAAAACACTATGAGAAACAATTTCATTAGTTGTTTAAGAGGTTTTGTTCTATATTCTGCTAACACTACTGCTACTGACTTAGGGTGAAGAGGGGAGTATGCAGTAGACAAGTCTTACTCATCTTTTAATAGATAGATATCAGAGAGAAATAGACCATGTATAACCTTTAGATGCATGCCTATGTCCTCCAGCAGGGCCTCACTTCTTAATTGCTACCACTTACTAATGCTGCCATCAAGTAACATGTCTACCAATGATATCCATTAATTTAGTCAGAGCCCTCACCATTTTTCAAGAATGGGTCCATCAATTAATACCACATCTTCAACACACGAGCCTTTGGGAGATGCTTTATATGCTAACCATAACCATGTATTTCCATGTATTCATCTCTTGACTCATTTACAGCAAAGTTTTGTAGATTCCTCTGCTTAAGTGTTTTACTGCCTTGGGGTTAATTATTCTTAGTATTTTACCTTGTAATGTTACTGCAACTAGAGTTGTCATAATTTCCTTTTAAAAGTACTCATTATTCTTTGTGTGTTGATTTCATAGCATGCAACCTTCCTGAACTCATTAGTTCTAGTTAGGGTTTTGTGGAAAACTGTGTACATAAAAGCACATGTCATCTTGTGGCTGAGGCTGTTGCAAAGTGGTAGTAGAGTGATAGCCTCGGATGTTTAAGACTGAGTTTAACCCCCAACAGCACAAGAAAACAAAGAGAACTCTATTTTCAAGCACATTTTTATCTTTTCCTTTCTAATTTATATTCATTTTCTTTGTTTTCCTTACCTAATTGCTTTGGTTAGATTCCAATTTTATGTTGACTGTAAATGGCAAACCTGAGTAGCTAATCTTGTTCCTGGTTTTAGAAGGAAAGTTTGCAATCTTTCATTCATTATTAATAATATTAACTGTGGGTCATTTTCATATGGGATTTATTTTGTTGAGAAAGTTTCCTTCCATTCTAGGTCGATAGCAGAAGTATTTATTGAGCCAATGTTTAACTTTAATTAGAATTTCATGAAATTTACAGACTAATTTTGAGGCTATACTAAAAAGGCAATTTCTATGCTACTAGAGGGAAGAAAGCTAATGGTGAAAACATGAAACTAATATTTTATGACACTACTTAAAAAGAAATATTATTAGCAGTATTATAAGGAATATCATAAGGAAATTAAAGTTTATGAGTTTTTAGACATTGGTGAAAAATAAAGATGAGAATTTAAAGGATTTTGATTTTTATTCTTTTATTGCTCTGTTTTACTTAACCCATTTTTCTTCTTACTTTTTTTCCCCTAGGATATCCTAATCCCCGGGAAGGAATATTTGGCCAAGAATTAGGTTATTATTTCAGTTATTTATACCCCTGAAGTATGAGACCTTAACACTTTACATGGAAATATCATACATTTTATTTACTGGCAGTTAAGTCAATAGTAATAGTTGGCATTTAGGATTACTTACTTTGGGCTGACACCATGACAAATGTAAGTACTACTATACAGAGTGATATGTAGGTAAGTACAGTTTCATAGAAGGGCTTCAATATAGGAAAGTAAGTTGGCTGAGGTTTCTCTTCCTATTTATGTTTGATCTACACAGACCTGAAAATGCTGTAAGTTGGAATAACTTTTTTTATATGAAAGATTGGTTTAAGCACAATTTATGTAGACCTCAATTTATACAATGTACATTAAAGTAAGTCAAGTATAGTTACAATAGTTAAAATTCAGTGAAATTTAAATACATAATGAGCAAGACAAAGATCTTCTGTCTTATTTATTAGACTAGGTTAGTAATAATTATTTTTTAAAGTCACATTTGGCTTACTGTTTTTTTATACATGTGTGTATACATGGGAGATTGGGTCTGATAAACCCATGGTAAATTGATAATATACTTAGTGTACCTAAAGATTATCAGAGGTGGTCAAATGAGTTTAACGCATATGACCCTGGTTCTGCAGGAACTGTGGCTTTCCGATGCTGCCCAAGATCTACAATAAAGTCCGATGTCATATTGGTAACCCAGGCAAAGGTCCAAATTCAGAGTTCAGCACTGGTTTCTGCTGAATATGCATCAGTGACTTACCAATATAAAATAAAAATCATTCAGTCAAACCATCAGTTTCTAAACTGTCTATATGTTTTAACTTCAAATTCTGTGGTTACTGTGTCACTGTGCAAATAAATCTAGTGCCTTCTTAAATTGTTAAGCATGTGATAAGTGTGTGTGAAATGAGAAGAGCAGAATTAAGACTAACACTTTATGCTTTGACTGACAGCAACTTAATAAAAAACATGGAACTTTAGAAGCAAATACATCATTAAATACTTCCAAAACTTAGGAATACTCTCTGTAGACCTAGTTAGAAAATTAACTATTAATTTGATACATCCTAGAATCACCTGAGAAGGAAGAAGCAATTTAGGAATTGCCCAGATTAGATTGGCCTGTAGACATGGGAAAAGGGAATTGTCTTGATTGTTGACAATAGTAGGAGAGCTTAGCCCATTGTGGACAGGTAGTTCTGTGCTGTATAAGAAAGCTAGCTAAGCAGGAACCTGATGTCAATCTAGCAATAGCCTTCCTTCATGGCTTCTCCTATATTCCTTTAGTGGTGGGTGATTTCCCTGGCTGGTGGTAATGCTGAATGGAATAGCTGGCAAGCCTGTCATCTTCAAGTTCTACTTTGAGTTTCTGCCCTCATTTACCTCAGTCAAATATAAGCCAGACAAATTATTTCCTCCCTTATGTTGCTTCTGGCCAGAGTATTTTATCTCATCAATAGAAAGAAAACCAGAACACCCAGTTAGTCAACTAAGCTTGTTTAAATTCTTCTGCATAACTCATCAATGTATGCTGGTATTTCTTAAGCATGTCGCATATGTGTTCTGCTACTGAACTATATTTCCACCTCTTACGTTACACTTTGAGAAGGGAAGGTCTTTGGTATTTAAGATTATGTCTTTGTTAGTGGGGTGGTTGTGAGGGCATAAGGAAGACAGGAAGGTCCCTCCCTGATAAGGTAGAGTATTTGTAAGTACTACAAATAGTATTTGTTTAATTAATTTATTGAAGCTTATTATGACATTCTACAGATCTACTTTTTAGGGAAATGGATTTCTTTTAAAAATTATAACAAATTGTAGATTGCATACTGAACTAAATCAAATATAAGAAAATAGTATGTTGTGTAATGAGTTTCCTCTATTTGGTGAATTCTAATTATTCTATAATAATCTTTACTAAATAACCTGATGGGGTAAGAAAAACAAAAACACTGAAAACAAGTTCACAACTTGAACCCCAAACCTGGAAACAGGCTTACAAGTGTTCTTTGATCAAAATGACTTTGGTATATTAATGATGGTATTCACAGTAGATTCGTGAAATTCTCTTAAGTGTGGATTATCTGAATTAGTCTAGAGAATTCTAACTGCTTGGCTTCTTCTTCTTCTTTTTTTTTCTTAGATGCATGGATTATTGCTCTGATTGTTATTACTTCAAGTAAGTGTTCCGAATTTTTCACTGCTTAAATCTAATTGTTACTGTAAAGCAGTACATTTTACAAAGTTTTTAAACCTGAGATAAACAAACATAGAAAAACTTGGTCTTTTATATATTAACCTTTGTTAATTTCAATTGTTTCATATTCTATATGTCTATTTAGAAGTAGCCTGTAATGATGCATGCTTTCTTAATATGACATATAATGTTCATCCTAAACATGCTTTTGATAATTTTTTTAAAATTCAGCCAGTACTCTCCTGTGATTCCAGTGAATTGGACTTAGAGAATAAATAGTGTCAGACTCCAGTCTGACAGCTGGGGAACCTGCATAGAACCAAACCAGGCCCCTGAACATGGGTGTCAGTTGGTGGCCTTGGGCAGTCTATGGGGTTGCTGGCAGTGGAATCAGTATTTGTTGCTAATTCATGAACTGGCTTTTGGAGCACATTCTCTATGGAGGGATGCTCTTTCAGCCTAGATACACAGGGGAGGGCCTAGGTCCTTCCCCAAATGTTGTGATAGGCTTTGATGATCCATCCATGGGAGGCCTCGTCCTCTCTGAGGAGTGGATGAGGGTTGAAATGGGAAGAAGGTGGGTGGAATGGGAGGAGAGGAGGGAGAGAGAACTGGGATTAGTATGTAAAATAAGATTGTTTTAAAGTAAAAAAAAAAATCACCAGAAAAAAAGAGTGCAAATGGAATCTAAACGTGTAAGTGTTTACCACTGAAATATAACTGATTTATTTCTTCTGCTTAGATTTTGAATCTTGGCAATCATTCTCAGAGTTATATGCTATTTATTTTCCTTTTCTTATAGTTGTTGGAGTTGCTGTAATTTTTCTCATCATACTCAGATACCTTGAGCACAGGAAGAAAGGGTAAGTATTCTAAGTTAATCATCACCTTCAACATGCCTAGTTTGTCATCTGCCTTGAGCACCCTCCTTTTTAAAGTATACCAACAGTAATATACCCTACAAATTGCATTTCTTTGCTAAAACATGGTCAGCTACTTTTAACATCATTGCAGCCTAAGAATCTGTGTGAAGTTGATTTTTTTTTTTAGCAGCTGTTATGACTACAAGAACATTTTCTATGGAATTTGAAGTTTAAATTGTTTAGTGAAGCAAAGTCATTATGAAGTTTTTCCTGCCCTAGGTAAATCCTTAGTTCAAGAAATGGCCAAAATTAAATTTGAAATATTTTAGTATGATATTTTCACTTTAAAGTCACTGAAATTTTTTATGTTAAAAGCTTATATTTGTTTTAACTTGGCTAGTGGTAAGAAGCTATGAGGGGGTAGCATTCTTTATTAATGTTAACCGGGGTGATTGAGACTATCACTATTTGATTTCTCTCTTCTGTTATAATTTTTTTTAATAGAAGTAGCTGAAGGGCTAAAATTCAAAGCGCACTCTATTATCTTTTATCTGTGTTCTGCCACCATAAAATGAAAACAAAGGGGGATTAGAACAGAAAAAATTACAAATACATATATTTCAAAAGAAATAAGGATTTAGAAGAGATGGAGGTATTCAGAGTGATATGTCCATAAGTGAAAATAGGGATTTGAAGTATCAAAATTAAGTATAGCAAATTTACATATAATGTTAAGATTTGAAATAAATCTTAGGACATGGATCAGATTACTGCCTTGAAGTTTCTGATAGAATTTAGGTAATTTCATTTTTTTGTGTGTGTCACTTTAAAAGAGCTCTGAGCAGCAGGATGAGGGGTGGCTTCCTTGTCACCCAGAGCCATGTTAATGTTGTGCCTGGGCACATAAAGATATATGGATAAAAGGGATTGTTACACTACAGCTTCCATGTTGAGTTGCCCCCCCTTTTTTTCCTCTTTAATTTTATTTTATTTTGAGATAGAGGGGTTGCAAGGGCAGAGCGTAGATATGAAGGGATGGGAAATGAATAGGATCAATATGCATGGTTTTGTTTTGAAAAGTAGCTGGTGGACACTAGTCCCATGAGTTCGGATATATTGGAGGGAAAGATAAAAGAGGAAGCTTAGATTACTGTCCTCTTCACCAAATTATTAATGTTTTCTTATATTCTTTTCCCAAGTTTAACACAAAGTACACAGATAGGACTCTGTTGTGAAGTAGTCTTAAACAGTTATGACCCAGTTCCCTCCTAGCAGTCCAATTGCCTCTACTTCTGAAACAACTAAAACCTGAATATAAAGGTGTTTCTGAGCCAGAAGGGAAACAGTCAACAGAACCAGTTTATTTGAAGTGCAAGCTGGGGAAGAAAATGCCCTCTTTATAGAAACCAAAGTATAGTTTACATTTTACAGTGTAAACTAATATTCTCTGAATCAAAATATATTTGGCATATTATAGAAAAACAATATAGCCTCAGCTTTTGAATAATTATAGTTTGTTGGGTGGTAGTGGTGCACACCTTTAATCCCAGCACTTGGGAGGCAGCAGCAGGCAGATCTCTAATTCCAGGGCCAGCCTGATCTACAGAGCAAGTTCCAGAACAACCAAGGATCACAGAGAAACCATCTCAAAGAACAAAAAAATTATAGGTGTTTTATCTTAAGCTTTCTGACTCCATCCCCCAGTCTATCTTTGGATTAAAATGAATTAAATGTTCTTTTAAATGCCAGGTATGGTGGAACATACCTGTAATACCAGTATACAGGAAACTGAGTCAGGAAAATCCCAAGATGGAGCTCAGCCAGTTAGCTCCTAGTTAGCTTTAGCCTCAGCTGTCCCAGGAGAGTAGAAAGTATAACTTTCATAACTGGACAGACCCCTTTTAGCTGGCATGCTTTATCTTTCCTCTACCCTGTAATCAGAGATAGCAGCCTTGTTCAGGAAAATATCCTTTCCATTAGCTTCTGTGGCTTTTATTCCCAAGATTTCATGGACTATGAGACTAGGTCTCATAGGACCTACCTTGACTCCTAGCCACGTAGATATACATTTTAGCACAAATAAAGAAACACTTTTCCCCCCTTTAGTTTTTAGGTAGTCTTACTAGGTGGCAATGGCTGAGCTTCATCTCAGTTTAAATTTTTCCCATTTAAATATATTTTAAAAAATAAGTAAATAAAACGCAACTCCAAACTTACCACTAATTTTAAAGATTTATTTTATCTTTATGTGTCTGTGTCTGAGGAATGAGTTATGTATATGTGAATAAGAAAGCCAGAGGCCTTGGATCTCCAAGTTACAGGTGACTATGAGCTACCTCATATGGGGGCTAGGACCCCAACTCCGGACCTATGCCAGATCATTGCTTTTTTTTTTTTTTTTTTTTTTTTTTTTTTTTTTACTATTTTGAATGTTTGGATTTCTTTTTAAATTTTGAGTTAAGGAAAAAAATCCACTACATTCCACTATATAAAACTGACTATAAAAAATATAGCACTTTTCAGATAATTCAGTGATGAGCTGAATAATTAAGTCACTTAGCACAGTATAAATATAGTGAAGGGGTCATAATGAAAACCTACCTCACAGAGAAGAACAGGTAATTATTGCTGCCTTTTATACTGGGTGGGCATCCCTAAATAATACTGGTAAATAACTGGTTGCTCTAAGTTTTAGGTTAAATTGTTGCAGTCAGTTTCATAAGGCAGGGGCTAGAGTGCAATTGTCTCTGCTCAAAAGTGAATGGCCATAGTATAGACTTTCAGAATCACTGTTTCTCTCAGACCTCATTAGGTACAAAACTCAGAGATCAGAGAAGCCTGCATGCCTCCCTGGTCTTTCCCATTGGTCCTAACTTGAAACAAAGGAAACATATATGTTTACCAAGTACTATGCACATATTTTAGAGGGGATCAAAAACACACAATAGAAGAAGGTTTTTTGTTTATTTGTTCATTTGAGTTTTTTTGAACATTTGAAATATTTTCTAGTTCACAGACAATACAGTATAAAGTTTTTTTTTTTCTATTGTTGTTATTGGAAAAATACAGTTCAGTAGTAGACTACTTATCTAGTAAGTTTAAAGAACTGGATTCCATTCCCATCACAAGAAAAAAAATGCCTATTTTCAAAGTAGGTTTGTGGAACTTAATTTCTACATGTAGTTATATTTGTTTTGATGTTGCTCCACCTTGTCCTCCACCTGGCCAAGAGCTGAGAGAACTAGTGCTGAGAGAAGAAAACTGCCACTCCCGATTAACTGTCTTTTCTCAGGTGTGTTTTAAACTTTTACATTTAGTAGCATAGAGTGGCCACAGAAGCCACTTGGGGAGACTGAATACAAATTGAAACTGAGTGAGGGTGAATCCTCTGAGTGATCCCCCACCCCTTGTGCCCTCTAAGTGGATACTTTGGGAAGATGATTGAACAGAAAAACCACCAAAAAACTCTGGATTAAGAAAAATTAAAATTTGTACTCATTTTCACATACTTTTAAAGATGTAGCAGTTGTACCTAGAATCAGCATTTAAAAAACAGACAAAAAGATAGCATTTACTAATTGTTTAAAAGTAAAAAATGGCTTTACTGTTTTAAAACTTAATTTAAAACATTTTAATCAAATATTTTATTTTTTAAATAAATTTTCCTTTATAGCATGGTCTGCTTCAAATTAATATTTATATTTTAGATGTATAAATACATATTTTTATTTTCACCAAATAATTTATCTCATATATTCCTCATATAACTATATGAGGAAAAGTGGTTCTTGTTTTTAAGATTGTCTAAATGATAGAGAAAGAGGCATATTTGAACTTAAAATATTCTTTTAACTACAGAAATGTATCTGCAGCAAAATGAGAAGTCCCATGTGTGGAAGTCATTACTGTTCCATTTTTGAAAATTGGCTCTTCAAGTCTGGCAAAAGTAAAATTATATATTTGCAGGAGCTTCATTTATGGTAATGTGTTTTTTTGTGTGTGTGTTTCTAGTATAAATAAAATCTGTTTCTAACTGCAATCTCTGTCTAACCTCTTGACCATCTCCTCACATCCTAGCCCCTCCAGCTTACCAAGGGTTTCAACACAGCCGAGTGTCTGTGTCCTGAACAATATGTTCAGCGGCATGGTACCCGCAGGAAGAAGGCCATATTTCAAGCATGAAACCAGACCTTCTACAATTCCAGTCCTTCTCCCTTTACCTCACACTTTAATTGCATATGATGGCTGTACATTAAGCTCACATCTGTGTCTTCCACACTCTTACCCTAATGTTACCTGAAATGATTCTCTCAAGATCCATGTATCTCCAAAGTCATTGCATGTCCTACCTGTCCTGTGAAGCTCTGACTCCTCAGGTTCTTAATCCTTCATTGCCTAGCCTTAAGTTAGCCACATTTAAGAGTCTATATATTTGTGTCTAATAGGTGATGTAACTTTCATATCACTTTAATACATTCAGAGGACTCAAAAAATAAAGCCCAGCAATTAAAAACTTGACCTGTGTAACTAATAGGATTTGGTTTTCTTTATGCAAACATTGTTATTGCTGCCTTTGCAGATATGAAGTAAGCCAGACTAAGTAAAGCCAGGCCAGTGTTCCTCACCTGAGGCTGTCCACTAGTCTCCCCCAGGGAGCTTTATTGACTCTTGAGTACTACCTCAGTGGGCTCTCATATTATTAATTTGAGATGTGGCCTGAACATAGGAGGTTTTGATTTCTCTGGTGATTTTAATTTACCAGCTGGGCTGAGAACCTGCATTAGTGACCATCAGGCCTGACAAAAAGAGGGTAAAACTTTAAAGAAAAACACAGTTTAATTCTGCCTATTAAAAATTTTCAAAGACTTTAATGTTGTACATGGATTGAACAACATTGCTCATCGTGCACAAAAACCCTGGATTCAATTCTCAGCACTGGAAAAAAAGTTATTAACAGATTATTAAAATAACCTTGTTTGCTTAGAAGTCCTGATATCTATCAAAGCAAGCAATGATAAACTGTAGTTTTAAAATGATAGTAATATTTATGGATAATATCAACACAGAATGAAATTTGTATTAACTAAAGCATTTTAGATAATTAACATAAAACTAGCATATTTTAATTAGCATAAAATATAGAGAAAACTTTTACAGCAACCAACAACAAATTGAATTATGCTAGAAAGACCTAGAGACAAAAGGAATTTGAATTTGTACCTTAAAGTAATTTTAAGGTTTTAGGGAAATGAACAATTCTATAGTGTACTAAATTTGTGATACCAGACAGCTAACATTTTTACCGAAGACTAGATTTTGCATATTTTAACAATTTGCTTTCTTAAGAGCAGAATTTAATAGCCTATTAACTTTCACAAGTGATTCAGAATTGAGTGAATCTGATAGAAGAGTATTTTCCCCTATGTTTTGGCTCTCGGGGCTCATCCAGATGGTACTCTAGATAAACTGTCAACCTTTGAGACCATAGCACTGATGCCCTTCCTATGGACAGTATTTGAGGGTCCTCTGCCCCTTCTCTGTAAGGCTGAAACTCCAGAGCCATGGATTTTATTTTAAATCAGGTAGAACACTAGTTCTTTTCTGTTTTGGGGAAAGTATCAATATCTTTGTTCCTTATTTCTTATTATGGGGAAAATATAATGCTGGGGGAATAGAGATGAACATACAATTTCCCTTCTTGATTGCATATAGACAGCAGGTGAACACATAGCCACACAGATGATACTGGAAAGCTACCCACCTGACAAAATTTTAGCTCTGAATATTGTTGACATTGCAATGCTAAGCCCTGTGTTGAACTACGGAGCTCTGATGTTTGGAGCTTGTGGTTTCACTGAGAATTCAGGGAACATCTAATGCTTAGGTGAACACATTAAGTATGGTGCTTGGAAAAATTAAGTCATCTGATTACCTACCTCCACCTGCAACAGCTCAAAAAATATTAAATCTGTACTTGAGGTGAGCTTCAACCATGAAGAATTCCTTCTGTAGACTCCCACAGCAATGTGCTTCTCAAATTCTGATATACGGGTTAATCACATCGTGATCTTGTTAAAAGCTGAACACTAATCAGCAAAGACAGTGTGACCAATGAAGCAAAGTGTGACCCTGAGGACCTTGGAAGCTTGAAGAGGACAAGCCAAAGAATACAGTCTGTTTATTGACAAAGAAAGGCAAGAAACATATTTTTCCTTCATATTCTGAAGGGTTTGTGTCTGATAGTACCTTGATTTTGGTTAAATTTCTGTGTTAAGACATCACATTTGTGTTGATTAGTTACAACAGTTACAGGAAGTTTATGCACAAACATAATAACAAAGAACTATGACCAAATAGTATGGCCTTTTGAGAAATAGGACAATGGCTCTCAACCTTTGGCTGTACACTAGCCTCATCTGAGCCCCAATCTGAGACCAGCTAAAATAGTACTTCCTTACAGGGATGGGACCCAAGGTTCACTCTTCCAGTGACCAAAGCTATGGCAATATGCTACTGGGTTAGAATGTGTCCCAGATATAACATATTAAAGGTACTATCTTAGGTTTTCCTAAAAAGTATGTACATAATAGTGTGTTGCTATTCTTGAGACTATATGTCAGCTTCCAAATAGAAGGCTTGGACCAACTTCTTAAAGACACTAGGGTTCAGACTTAATTCATTTGATCTACTAAACTGGTTGCATTTTTTCTTCATCCAGTTAACAAAAGTATATTATATTCACTTCTAAAAACTCTGGTAGGCTTAATACTTCAACAAAAGACTTTCTACCTGGATTGACAGCATGATTTCATAAGCCTGACTCAGGAGGGTATTGCCAAAAAAAAAAAAAAAAAAAAAAAAATCTGCATTAACAATCAATTATGGAAAACTACCCCAGAGTGACAATTTTATGTAAATGGCTCTAAGCATTCAGATTTTAAAAATGTGTTTGATAGGTCTTCTTGCATCATTATACTCCTCAGAACTTCAGTATATAGAACTGTTTAAGCATTCAATAAGGATGTTATAAATTTCTTTTATGGAAAAAAACTTAAATCATTGTTTTTGCACTTTGATATTAAACTACACCTTCTAGCACTCATTTATGAACTAGAATCATAACCTGGGAGTATTTTAATTATAATTTTCAATATGAATTAATTGGGAGATTTGGACAGGGTAGCTAAGTTTTTTTTTAAAAAAATGGCTTAATGTGTAGTTAATACCCCAAACTGTCATACTTAGAGGAGCTACAGTCTCCTACTTTAGTGGAGCAAATTAAACAATACAGCTGAAGGACTTAGCCATTCCCACCACCACATCCTGAGACTTAAGAACATGGATTCTTTAATCAAAAGCTCGAAATAGCTCTGTAGCTGCAGGATGTATCATAGTCACTGGGAAATCTTTCCAGCAAGTGTTCCATTCACCTCCCCCTTTCAGCACAATAGGCAAGGCAGCCATCTGGGGTAAGACTACTGGGATGTGGGATCAAGAAAGGCTTCCTGGGCATCAGTTATTGAAACCCACTGACTTGAAATGATTATACTGCAGATACTTCATCGTTAGGTATGCAACTTCTATGGAAGGGGCCACCTGCTTTCTTCCTGAATGTTCTCCAAGTATGAACCCTGTTCCCCAATGCTGTCAAATCTCTGAACACTTTTATAAATTTGTCTCACCACCCATTCAAGGGTTGACATAAACTATCAGCTGAACTCCATCTGCTACAAATGCAACTGAAATTAGCCTGCTCCCCTTTAAGGGCCACATGACACTTTGGTTAAGTAAGTTCCCTGCAGCAACACTGACAGGAGGAGGGCCAGAGTCCACAGTTCCCTTGAAACCAAGAATAGTCTTCCCATTTAGTAACATCCCTCAGCCTAAAGCTCTAGCCTTCTGTCTCTGATAATCTTTCATCTTTAGAATCTCATTCCTGGCTTAATGACCTTCATGTTTCATGTTTGTCTGCAGCAACCTACTTCAATTCCTTATGATTGGAACAGCAAATTAACTTTCCATTGCCCACTTCTCATTGCCATAGAATTATGAATGGAAAATAACAGATAAAAACACAGACATGATAAATTGAATATAGCAACTATTTATTAAAGTCAGGATACATGAACATACAGGATACAGAAACACGGTTCAGCAGCAAATGGTTTATAGAAGTCATAACAGTAGTACATGTAAGAAATTGCAACTGAGGTTATTAAATTAAAATTTAATTGTAAAAATCCATTAAGTTATCCCTAACTTCTGTACCACATACACATGCATTAAAGAAGTTAGGAAACTGTGCTCTTCCTTCTCTGCTCTGCCTGTGTAGGAAACAACAGGCTGCTGCTGACCACACACCACGAGGCTCTGAGGCTGGTGCTTTTCCCCCTACATCATAACCGATTTCAAATGGTGCTAGACAAAAACAGACTCTGAACACCAGGAGAAATCGGTCAGCCTGTGTAAGAGATGGGCCAGTGGTGGTCTTCAGGTCTGAACCTCAAGGCAGACAAGTGACAAGTTTGACTTCAGCTGTGCTGCAACCATGACTGAGTACTCCAGGCACCTTCCAGGTACAGGCAGGCAGTACTGATGTGGGTGAAGTAGTCCTCCATTTGCAGAGCACTCTTCCCTTTCTTGCTACAATCAACACCCAGAACATCACTGGACAATAAACAGTACAGGGCCAGGCCCAAGCCACCCTCCCCCTCCCATGGAATTCTGGATAAAGTGGATCACTCCTTACCCTGTTCATGCCCTTGCATTTATTTTGAACACAACAACTTTCCCACTATCACTGCCTCTAAACCAAACAGACCCAAGAGCAAATTTTACTGTCCAAGTCTTCCTTTGACTTCTTGAAGGAGAGAGCCAGTCCTGTGTACAGCTGCTTCTCTGTAGTCTAACCTGTGCTGTGCTGCAATTCTTACTCCTAAAACACTGATTTCAAATGGTGCTAGATACAAAGATG